TCAATGTCGTTTATTAAAGAGTGCTCCACAACTTAAATGAGTGTTACTCCGCTTCGCAGGCGGCTCGTCGTGCAACCCCAGGTCGCTCTTTCGTCGCACAAAATGTCTCTCTCAACCCGCAACACAACGAAGAAAAGATGAGTGTGTTTCGAAGCTCCTGTTTGTTGTCTGATTACGCTGGTTTTCTCGAGTCTCGAGTACCGACCAAGAACGCTGTGCAGTGACGTGCATTACATTCGCAACGAGCTCTCCTTTTTCACAAAGCCGGGGTCTCAATTGATGTCTCAGAGAACAACCTTAGTCCGACGATCAGGGGCCGGCGGCCGCGCCTTCTTCAGAGGCGAGCGATTGGTGACCGCTGGGCGACTGCACAACCGCAATACGAAGAAGAGTGACAGGACGGCTACCCGTATTGCTTCAAAATGTTCAAAGACTTGGACAAGCCAACAAAAATAAGAGAAAGAAAAAAGGAATGGTGCGATTGAAGGGCAAAAAGAATGGCGAGTATCGTGAAGGTGATGATTGCTGAAATGATTGTCGTGGCGCTGTTCGTTTTGTCTTCGTATCCTTCAACCTCACGAAAAACGCAGGCCGAAAGACCCTCAAAGCCTCCGAAAATCTCAAACAGCTATTCATGCTGGCGTGGCTACCCACCCCATCAGCCAAGCCCAAGCAGTCCACAGCGGACATTCAGGGGCACCCGGTGTTCTGCGTCGGGACTATCGTGCGATTGGGTTAGCTGGGTGAATAGCGACAGGGGTCGTCCCAGATTCCGCAGCCATCGCAGCGATCGCTTTCAGGAACGGCGATCACCTCACGATTCACTGCAGTGACTGTCCTGAGCAGGTGCTTGAGTGCTCTATGAGTCTCGATGTGAAGGGGACAGCGCTTCACACGAATATTGTCTAGTCAATCAAACTCGGAAAAAGCCACCATTTGTTAGGAAGCTAAACAAATCTTGTGGAAGAAAGCGAGAATTCAGTTCCGAGTCCCTCGCGTGCCTCTGTGCGCAGCCGAAGCCACGAGGCGCCCGCCGCACGAACCGGCCGACATCAGCGTTGGATCCCATCCTCCCTTCTCACCACGGCGCTCAAAAGACCTGGACTAGACGTTCCAAGCTCCCAGCTCGGTGTTCCCCTCGCGAGCCGTTATGCATCGGTCCTGTGACCTTCGAGTGGACGCTTTCATCGTTGGGGATAAATGTTGGTCTGTCATGGCAGCTAACTCACCAACTTGCCCAGGTACTGACATGCTTAGAGGTTGTGAGAAATGGTACCGTTGGCTTTCACCCTACCCGCCATTGCTTTGTTTCGGCTTTCGAACCAATATCAAGTGAAAATCACCTCCGTAGTTGTATGAGGTAAAGGTGTCAATGGACACGGCACCCAAACAGCGAACAACGGTCGTTCCCAGCGTCGATCATGCGTAAAAGGAACCGTTATGGTAGAAGGCTTTGCGTTCCTGACAAAGCGGACGGGATCGACAGACGTGCGTTGCATATGACTTATGCGAAACATTTGGGGTTCATCTGGCTTTTGTACCGCCTTATTGGCGCATGAACCTACGAAGTACGTAACTGTGCGTTTCTAGAATAGACTTGGGGAACGCAACGAGCTTGTATCGGCGCGGCCACAGTTCTGTCCTTCATACCTTCTTGGAAAGGCTTTCCATATGTCACAAAGCCGAATGTACAAGGCCTGCTCAGTATAGACTCTAATCAAAACCAATGCGATTGTGTACGGCAAGTCCAAACGATTGGAGACTCAGCGAATCAAGACAGCACTTCCGAGTAATGACTGTGTTTCTGTGCCAACTGACCTCTTCCTTGGATATATCATTTCATGGGTATCATCAGTCGTCGTCCATTTCCTGCAACCATCATGCCCTCTTTGCCACGGCACTATCTGCAGCCGTCGCTTTTGTCTTCTCCTTCTTCGCAGCCGCCGCCGTCTCCCTCTTCACTGCCGGCGCCTTCTTGGCAGCCGTCGTTGCTTTGGGCGCCGCACTCTTCTTCCCCAGTATAGTGTTTCCCGCCGCTCTCATCCGGTCCTTATACTGTCTCGGACTCTCGATTTCCCTTCTCCTTCCTAGGCCGAAGAATCCCGTCAGGGTATTCGCCCACATCCCCTTCCCCTTCCTCCTCGCCGCCGCCTCAGCATTCTTATACACCTGCTCCATCCTAGGCCCGCCAAACTCCGCGCCCGTCTTGGCTTCGTACGTGGTCGCCAGCCCAAGTTTAAGCATTTCCAGCCCAACGTCCTTGCGCAGGAAGAAGGGCGGTTTCCGAACGAAGACGGTCGCAACGACCCGGTCGTACTGATCCTTGCGGTATATGCGTGCCCGGACGCGCTTGCCGAGGATGTAGTTTCGGAGCCACTGGAGGGCTTCGCTCGAGTAGGGTTGTGCGGGCCGGCCGAAGTGGGCGCCTTCTGGGGCGTCGATGCCTGCGATGCGGATTGGGATCTGGCAAAAGCGGCACTCGAGTCAACACTTTATCGCCGCTCATTCTTTCATTCACATGTTACATTTCGTAGTGTTGGAGACTGCGCAAAGGCAAACTAACCGTTCGATCCTTCAATTCCTTCCTAACCATTGGCACCCTACGCAACCAACCCCACCCCGCCAACCGCCCGCCGGGCGTGTGAAAGAAATGGAAGTTATCGCCGTCGCCTACACTCGTCACCTTGCCCAGCAGCGTGCGCCGCCGAAAGAAGCCGGGCGAGATATATGCGGTGCCGCGAAAGCGGCGGAGAAACGAACGCCAGATGCCGAAGAGCGCGAAAGCTCCGATGGTCGGAAGGGTGTAGAGCACGATCGATCGCGGTTCTTGGTAGTGCTGCCAGTCGATAAGCGTCCAAAGCGAATCGTTCCAGGAAATGGCTGTCTTTTTTAGTTCGGGCGGAATGGGCGGTATGCCTGCCAAATCTGCGGCAGGCGGCGGCGCACGCTCCGTTGGACGAGGCGAGTTGGAATGGAGATTCGAAGGCATGCTGTGAATGCCATGATTGCTGTGGTTGACGTTTGTTGTTGATGTTGTTGATGAATACTTGATTGAAGAAGAGGGTGATGGAGTTCCCTCATCCTTCCCGGTAGGCGATGCCCACAGACCCCATGGCATCGTCAAGAGCTGGGGGAATGGGGAAAATGAGGAAAATGGGGAATCGTAGCGGTGATGTCGGTTGCGATGCGCGTTCCTGCGTTATGCGATACGACGAACGGGTTGGGGCAGGCAGGATTTAAGGGACTCAGTGCACGGTCCTCATTCCCCGATCCCCATATTGCTTGGCGTGGATTGGCTCTACACGTGTACGCAGTAGGTCCAAGTGCCCTTTTGACAGCAGCGCCAAGAGTGGCCGGTCCTCCAGCTGACTTGGACCCCCTTCCGTGATCCGTCGTTCTGTTCCCCAACCCAACCAACCACGGCACTTTTGTCGAAGCCAGGTGACCACTCAATTCAGGAGGTCACGTCGCTCATGGTCAGTTCGTGATTTGTCTCATTCGAAAAGAGCGATTCGCTACATTGGCTGAGCCCGTCTTCATGGCTGAGTGGCCGTGGTGCCTCTTGATCACTACTTAACGGCTGCTATTAGTGGCAGCCCTTGACAAGACTCAGAGGCTGGGTTGGGTAATCTCAAGCTTACCTAGCATGTAAGGGACCGTGATCTTTGACGATGACATGTTGAGTTTGTAAGGAGCTGCGAATCGGAATCTTGGCTTTTAGTTTCCTTTCCGATCGCTTTTTCGATGGATTCGGAGATTTGAGAGGTTGAAGGCCGATGCTAATGCCGCCAACAAACTGTTCGTTTTTCTACGCGAATTGTTACTACCAGTCTGTTACAGGCTCACTCTCGTTAAGAGGACCAGGAATAACCATGGTAAAGGGAACCTCATCCAATATCATTTAGGACTTCACTCCGAACTAGAGGCATGCTCCCTCACAAACACCATCATATCTCGGAAATCAGCTTGACTCACCTTGATCACTTCATTAGGATCGATAAGATCCATGGTTTCTGCCTCCTCGACATCACCGTCACCCCCACAGTCGTGGACAACTCCCACCTTCACGATACTTCCCCTGTTCATTGAGGCAGCAGACTCAACCCCTCCATCACTCCAGCCACGCTCCAGAACCCCAGAAGAAGCCTCCCGTAGGTCCTGGATCTTGGCCAACAACCCTCTAGTCAACTGGATCCTCCCTCTGATTTCATCAATAGCTCTATCCGTTGTTGCTCTTTCGAGGGCGCAACTCTCGCAACACCTGTCGACTCGGTATGTTGAAAGCGGATGCGTCCACATGATATTGCAGCCTTCGTCGATCTTGCCTTGGTCGAAGTTGCGTTCTGACTGGCACTTCTTGGTTATGCCTAGCCAGGTGAAGTGGCCGCATTTGCGATAGATGAGACGATGATGGATACACATATTTAGTGGGTGTTGTGTTGTCGTTTGATACTAGTTTGTACAAAGGGATGGCACGTAGTGAAGGATAAGGATGGGTATCTAAAGCATGATGATGTTTGGCACACATGGTATTGGCGGCGGACGTTGCTGCTTATTATGTTATTTCGTGCTGATGGAATGAGAGTTTGGTACAATGTTTCAGCACAAGACAAAAGCAAACCAACGGTGCTGTTATCTGAGATCATGTTCTCAACATAGCAGAAAATCAGTTGCGACATGTTTGTGGACAAAGACTTTGTATTGTCAACACTAGTGGTGCCATTGATTGGTCAGAGAAATGAGGACAACGAAAATTAGAGACAAACACACATGTAATAAGTTACAGGGTCTGTTTTTGATCAAACCTCAAGATCCTATGGGCAAATTTTATCATTGACTTTCCTTGGCTTTGTGGTCAAAATACATTGGATAATAGAAATGCAAGCAGTTCCGACTTGTCATTGGTACCGTAGTCTAACAACCACGGACTAAGGGAGGGCATGGATACCTGTGGCTTTCATCGCATTCGACAGATATACCACCAACTATCAAGCTTGAAGTCAGTCCAAAATACTGGTTCCTAAAACCTCCTTGAAATCTCTTGCCCATGCCAACTTTATGCCTTCCCGACCCTCCGACACATGCGGCACCTCAAAGCCCAACTTCTTTAGGGTTCCCAATAACGTGCTCTGCTCCTCCTCACCCTCATTCACCACAACGATCCCTGTATCCGCTCTCAACAAACACTCCAGATCCGTCACCGAATCGCCAAAGTACACGCTTCCGCGCTTTTTGCTCTCCCCGGCTGCCTCTTTCAGCAGCATCGTCTCAAACCCCTCAAGCTTATCCTTAGCAGTCATCATCACTTTCCCGCCCATCTCCTCCGGTCCTTCTAGCTGTCCGCCAGGCCACTTGATCTCGTTAACCCTCTTGACGAACACACTCCGGTCCGGATCTTCAGGTTCTATCACTCCTTCAACGAACGCCCTGGACCAGTTCACGCTCACTAGCCCCAATTTGTCTCCCCTCGCCTTAGCTTGTTGCACAAACTCCGAAAATCCCTTTCTCACCCTCACTGCCTTCCCTTCATCCCCGTCCCTGTCGGGATTCCACCCCTCGCCAATCCGTCGAGCCTCTCTCCCGAATTGTTCCCACTGCTCACTTGTCAACCTGGCAAAGAACCCTGTATTAACTACTCTCTCCGCACTAGAGAGTTCAACGGTTTTCAAGCTCTCTAGGTACGCCAGCTCCTGCGCTAATCGTTTTCTATCCTCGGCTTTGGGGACGTATAACTCTTTGTGTTTTGCGTAGTCGGCGAGGTATAGGTCGACTACCCGTTTCCAGTTTTCGGAGGCCTCTTGTTGAGAGTAGGCGGAACCGCGAGAGGAGATGGCAAATTGAGCGAGAACGCTGATAGTGTCTTGCTGGGTAACGGTACCGTCGAAGTCAAAGACTATAAAGCGAGCCATTCTTTTGGCAAGGTTGCGAGTTATGTTTTGATGAGCGGGTTTCCAGAAAGGCATTGAACCCGAAAGGAGGTTGGCTCGGATCAGAATGAATGTGGCTTTATTTAGGGTTGTGATATCCCGAAGGTGGGTGGAGGTAAGTAGGTAGTGGAAACTCCAGAGGAACTGTAGCCAGGACAAGAAGGAAAGCACCAGTAACTAGTAGCACTTCTTGGCCAGTAAGAATCGGGAATGATTAACATAAGGCCCCACTTCATTTATGGACAATGTTGTTGACCAAAGGATCGCCCAAAGTGTTGTACCAACGTCACGCATTGTGACTAACGCTTGGAATGTAAGAGCCTTTGCATAACCAACGACTGCAACGCTTTGACGCAATTGAAGGAACGAATAACCCAAACTTGAAAATCGACTTTGTTAAGTGATGCAACGGGTATCATTGTGTGAGCATGGTCTTAAAAGACCGCTCGTCTTGCGAGCGAGGAAAAAACGCAGCAAACCCAGTCTACTCTAAACGCCTAACGTAAAGCAAGTAAATGGGCCAGAAGGAAAATCGCATCCATCAAGACCCCACTCAGTCCTGTCTTCTCAAAACAGGACGTCCTCCATCTTGATATCGTCATCGTCCTCATCCTCGGATGCGATTTCGGGTTTGGGTGCCGCTTCGTTGGTTGGTGCCGGCAGGTCCTTATCAGAAATCATACTCTGGTATTCCGGTTTCAGAGACCAGTGGTTTGCAAAAGTACCAGTTCGGTGAATAACGGCAATCTTGTCCAAGCACTCTCGAATGAACGCCTCGGGCTGAGGAATCCGAGAGCGCAGCGCCTTGATGGACCAGTACATGTAGACGGAGAAGCATTTGGCGAGCTCGTCGAGCAGCTGGTTCTCTGGCCAGCGAGCTGTCTTGTTGTCCATCTTCTTGGCCTTGCTCGGAGCCTCGGTCGTGCGCTATTGTTTGCTATTAGTGAAAGCTCTAGTGGTGATATGTCTTCAAATACACGCACCAAAAATGTTTCCCAGCCCTTGGGATCCGTGATGCCATTGGGTGGCAGACGATCCAGGACCTGTACTGTATGTTTGGGAGCCGTCTGCTTCTGGCCTCGAGCAGCAAGCGCATAGTCTGTTTCGGGATTTTCCAAAGGAGTAGCGACAACCTCACGCTTGATTGTTGCTGCAATCGCCGTTTGTTCTGAACTCCAAAGTTAGCACCTATCAAGGCAGGCCAGCTGAGATTGAGTGTAACGAACTCGGGATGGCCTTCTTGGTGTACTGCTGTCCCTTCTTTCCGCGCTCCTGAGGTGGCTCCGACTGCTTCATCTGCTGGCGCACAAGGTGTGCAGGTATTCCCTGCGCTAAAGCCTCAGCCCGCTCCTTGTTCTTGGCGGCATAACTTGGGTGATCATGTTCACCAAAGATGAAGGTGTTGTTGACGTTAGCATCCACCATGTCGAGGTTGTATTCCTTAGGAATATCGTAGTGTTGTGGAAGATCGTCGAGGAGAATTTGTAGCTTCTGAAAGCCCAAACAGTCTCAGTAACCTATTAAAACGTAGTGCTTGTCACGGAGTGCTGCTACTGACCTCCGGTTGACCATCTTGTACAATTCGACGAACTTTGCCAATCTGAATCTCCGCATCATCGGGAAGCGAAGCCCATGCTTTCCAGACATACCCCGGAAGGCGAGCCAGATAAGCGTTTTTCAAGGGATAATCATTGGGATCGTAGAACCCCAAGTCGGCTGATTCGTCAAGCTCGTCTTCGGCGAAGGCTGCGTCCGGGTCAGGCTTGATTCTCATTGGATCGGCCATGATTGGAGTTGGTCGCTGTGTGACGAAACTAGCAAATATTAATATGTGCGTAAAATGGCCTTTTCGTTCGCTGGTTGTCGGCGTCTTGTGGTAGCGTGGACGGAAAGTTGGGGCGTGATTGTCGTGGTTGTTGTTGTAGAGAGGTTGCCTGGGAGAAAGCAGCCGCGAGCGTCAACGTCAGGACAAAGACCGTTGTACCTTGGATACGTACCTGTATACTATTATGTAAGCCGCTACCTGATCCTAGCGCGACCCGCTCTCCCGCAAACGGAGCGGCTAGTGGGGTCCCTGGTGGCAAGTACTTACCTGAACCTAGGATTATGCATACATCTTTCAGTTAAAGGTTGACTTCAGTCTGGTGAAGGCGCCTGTGGTTTTGGATTTTTCTGAGGGGAGTCTCAAACTTGGAGTCTCGGCATAGGTTGCAGTACGGCTGTCCACGTGAGCGTTCTTGTTTGTATCCGGCGATATTTTCTTTGGGCTCAAAGAAAGGAACAGAAGTGGAAGTACGGTACGAAGAGTGCCTTGGGTCTTTTTGAAAACAAGCCGATGTTGGCTGATTAGGAGGAAAAGTGAGCTCACCACGGGGCATTGAGGTTAGGTATCTTGCATAAACTGCTTTCCTCGACGTAGTGTCCATACTATCATATGTGCACAGCACATCTTCCCAATGCCCTGTTAGTCAGGTCCTGGTTGGTCGTGACTGGTTGACGCATTACTCCATGGCCTTCTTTCTCTGATAGCGACCTTGGCCGTTCCTGATTGGCTGACCTCTGGCGCAACCCCCCTCAAAAGATCACTGGCAGTTCGCCGCCGTCCTTGAACATCCGAACCAAAATCCTTCTTGCACCCATCATCCTCTGTTTTGCGCGCCGCCACAATCATCTCAACAACAACGTTACCTTATCGCATCGAACGAACGGCACCAGCAACATCGCGACCCTTCATCGTATTTTCTTCAATCTAAATAACCGACAAAGACCGGTACTGCTTGATCGTGGAACGTGACCGCAATATACCGATACGCTTTTAATATTGAAATTGCAGCAACAGCTACTTGTACTAGGTCTTGGATTCGAACAAGATGACAATGTCTGCCGAGGAACACGAGCTGATGGAGAGGATTGCCCGTGTGGCCGGTCAGATCAACCAGCACAAAAATCAACAAGCAGGCCTTGTTCCGCCGCAGAGCAGCCACGCACCACCGCATCACCGTACGTCCGTGGAGTATCATAACAGCAACCGTGCTGGTATTGACGGTCTTGAAGACTCAGGTTATTCTGGAAGCTGGCGTCATCAAAGAGGAGGCTACCCATACCCAACCCGCGCCCATTACACCAAGCCTGTCCACCGTCACAGGACCTTGGTGCTGAACGGCGCGTCTCAACAAGGTAAAGCAGGTCAGCCCACTTCAGGCGCCGCGCTCGACTCGTCCCCGTCGTCCTGGGTAGCAAAGAACGACCGTCACCTTCAAATCATCAATTCGTCCATCTATCACAAGGAAGCGCAGGCTCGCACTCGGGCCATCGAGCAAACTCTGCGCCAGAAGCAACAACAGAGAGATGATCTGGAACGAACCAAGTTGATCAACCATCTACACCGTGCTGGCGATCGGTCGGCAGCGGTACCAAACCAATATGAACTAACCGTGCAGGGTATACGTTTTGCCGTTACGAAGAACGGAAGCAAACTTGTCAAGATTCCCGGTGCGTCGAAACCGCGGCCACAAGTGCTGGATGTGCCGAATACTCACCCTGTCACAGGCGATCTCAACTCAGGGCCGACCCCGAAAATGGCTATCGTAGGCGGTGTCAAGTTCTACCGCAGCAAGAACGGGAATTTGTACCGCCATGGTATTGTTAAAGCGCAGCGGTATGTGGCCCGGTCCCCTTTGAATCATCCGCTAATTCTAGTTTGTGGTAGGCAATCCGGCGCTGTCAAGAAGGTCAACGTGCCTTGTCGCAATTTCTCCATGACCGGTAACTCCAACTTTTCAGATTTCGGAACCTTAACCGACACCACGTCGAAATGACTGGGTCTGGTAAGTCTAAACGATGTTTATACTGACATCCCCCGCAGGTTCATGCACCAAAGGCCCTCGGTGCCGATATATCCACGACCCAGCCAAGGTTGCCATTTGCAAGGACTTTCTCCAACAAGAAGAATGCATCAACGGTGACTCTTGCGATCTTTCGCACGATCTCTCCGCGGAACGCACCCCCACGTGCTTGCACTTCATTAAGGACAGTTGCACCAAACCTGACTGCAAATTCACTCACGCAAAGGTGTCTCCAGCTGCCCCGGTCTGCCGAGAATTTGGCCTCTACGGCTACTGCGAGAAGGGTGCAAGCTGCACCAACCGCCATGTTTTCGAATGTCCCGACTTCAGCAACACTGGCGTGTGTAATACCAAGGGCTGTAAACTGCCGCACCGGGAGAGGGCAAGCGTCTTGCGCAGGGTCAATGCCCGCGACGACGCGGAGATGGAAGATCTATCCAGCGACGACGAATCAGTCGATAGCGACGATATCGACTCGGACGACGTTGACGAGTTTGTTGGCCAGGACGACGATCCTGACTTGGATTTCGCCGAGCAAAAGGACTTCATCAAGTTTTGATTGGTGCAGTCCTGGCTCGTTTGTTTTGGTCCTTGGTTTTTCCTAAGCCTTGCTGGCTTATTGATACCCTTTGATGTTTCTGTTTTCTGTAGCGCAACCCGTTACACTTTCCGGGTTGGCAGTGGGTAAAGGAGGATAATAAAAGTAAAAAAAGGAGGGAAGAGAAAAGCAAACGGAAAGAAAAGAGAGAAAAGAAGATGTCACTTTGAGAAACAGCCCAGACTAGGCAATATTATTATAGATAATAGGAGAGCATGACCGCACTTGGTACATGATAACAATGATTGGCCTGTGGTGAATGTCGACCCCGATGTGCTGCGGCAAGCTCCAAGCAGGTACCGCGAAATGTTATCCTGATCATCCAATGGCTGCTGAGAGTTAGTCTGCCGAGAGCTTAATAGCCACACCATCACTGCCATTCCTTCTTCACCCGGGCCCGGAGTATCATAGACCACCCCGCATTCGCAACCTTAACCCCCTATGCTCTCCGCTAAATATTCGTATGAATTCGCTGCTGCCTAACGAGAGTGTAGCGATGGGATTCCCTTCTTCTTGGGCATACAAATTTCTGTCCAGAAGTAACCTCGCCGCTTACGCTTTCCAAAATCCATACAGCTACTCCTCTTACGACCCCTTAATGCTGTACACGTATATAGATCAGCACCTGCAGATATCCCACATTCCACAATACTACTAGTCTCATGATCTTTCTATACCTAACTCCCACCTCCTCTCCCGCACTTTTGTGGATAGTCAGAAACTACATCAGTCATTGTTTAGTAAAGGACTAAGGAGCACTGGGGTCTAGGCGACTAAAACAGTTTCATATATACCACGTTCTCGGATTTACAACCACAACCACTCAGGTGGCGCGGATGTAATGAAACCCAGACTCAGACCCTTGCATAAAGCACTAGTCCAGTACGCAGATTGAAGGCCTGCGGCCGCCGTGCGGTTCGGTTGAGCAAAGCCGGTACCGAACCGTCCTGAATCCGACAAGGGGTATTTGATTGTGAGGGGTAGGAAGTGGTAAGTTTCGGCTCATGTTTTGTTTGATGAAATGTATATATACAGAGAAAGAGAGAGGGATGGAGGCAAATATCTTGGCTGCTGGTCTGTCTTCGACTATGAGGTCGACGATCTAACACCTACACCCTTTGACAAAACAAATACGTCGCAACAAGTATACACCAGAGATATCAGTAGAGATGACTACAACTACGAACGGGCACATGGACGGAGGTGACCTCAAGACAAAGTTTACACTTAAAGATGCGGTAGTGGAAAATCTTAGACCGTTGAGGGTAGTTGTCATTGGCGCTGGGTATAGTGGTATCGGGGCAGCGATTAGGTGAGTTGCTTCCCTACCTCCCGCTTTAGGCTGATGAAGTAGTCGTACCACCGGATCGATACTGACAAACATGGATGTGCTGTGAAGAATACCAGAGAAGCTACGAAATGTCGAGCTAGTGGTCTATGAGAAATACGAAGGCGTCGGAGGGACATGGTAAGTCCACGCTTTTCCTCATGAACTCATCTGGACCGCTAGTCAATTACCAAGCAAAGACACTGACACTGCAAGAAACAAAAAGGTGGGTGAACACATATCCAGGTATGTACGACCTGGTCGTGGTCCCCAAACAGCAGTAGGAAACAAAATGAATGATCAACTAACCGACAGCCAAAATGAACAAAAGGCGTCGCCTGCGACATCCCCTCTCATTCATACCAATTCTCCTATGCGCCCAACCCGAACTGGTCCAACCTCTATGCGCCAGGCCACGAGATCCAGAAATATCTGCAGGACGTGGCCGAGAAATTCGGAGCGACGAGGTTCATCAAGTTATCACATAAAGTGGAGGAATGTGTCTGGGACGATGGGCAGAAGAAATGGTTCGTTACAAGTTCAGATCAGTCTCACACACGCCAAACAAAACAGACAGGCTAACAGAACGTGAACGGAAAGGCAACTCAAAGTCATGAATCTGGTTACCGGAGAGGTGTTTTCCGATTCGGCAAATGTGCTGATTACGGCCCGAGGTCAGCTTAGCGAGCCGCGATGGCCGGATATTCTGGGAATTGACCAGTTTAAGGGGAAGAAGATGCATTCGGGGGCGTGGGATAAGAGGTAAGTGGTTGTCTGATCGGTCTTTCGGAGGCAGTCCTGAAAGGGTGCCGTGCTAACTGACCTACAGTTATGACCTCCGCAACAAGAAGATCGCTGTTGTGGGTAACGGTTCCAGTGCCATCCAGATCGTTCCCAAGCTCCAGAAACTCGAAGGAACGACGCTCTCGTGTTTCATACGATCACCGACCTGGATATCGTCAGCTTTTGGCGATAACACCATGAAAGACCTAGGAATGGATCCCAAAGTAACAGAGTGTAAGTCTTCATCTTGTTCCGATCACGGACCTCTCAGTGAACAAAAGAGCCTAACAACCTATACTCAGTCACCGAAGAACAAAAAGCCCTCTTCCGCTCCGACCCTCGCGCCCTCCTCAAATTCCGCAAAGCTTTTGAAGACTTTGGCACCTCCCTCCACAACTCCACCATGGCAGGCCACCCGATGACCATCGAGGGACAAGCTTTCTTCAAAGCGGACATGGAATCCAAGCTGTCGGCTCGTCCCGACCTGCTAGCCAAGATCATCCCAGCCTTCGCCCCTGGCTGCCGGCGCCTCACTCCAGGAAGGGGCTACCTTGAAGCCCTCCAACAACCCAACGTGACAACAATTCACGACCCCATCTCACACATTACCTCCTCCGGCATCGCGCTTGCCACTGCGGAAGAAAAGCAACACATAATCGACGCCGACGTGATCGTCTTCGCCACCGGGTTCCAAGCCTGCACCTCCCCACCCTTCCCCATCATCGGCCGGCGCGGACTTACCCTCGCCTCCCGCTGGTCCCAACACCCCGATAGCTACCTCGGTCTAGCCGTCGACGGGTTCCCCAACTATCTGATGCTGTTCGGCCCAAATACGACCATCGGGTTCGGCAGCCTGAACCGGATCCTGGAGGCGCAGGTAGACTACGTCGTCTCGGTAATCCGCAAATTACAAAAGGAGGATTACGCGTCCATGGAGCCCAAGCCGGAACGAGTGCGGGACTTTGTGGCCTTTGTGGATGCCTACTTTAAGGATACGGTGTACCTGGATAAGTGCAAGAGTTGGTATCGGTCGGAGGGCGGGACGGGAAACAGGATCGTGGCGCTGTGGCCCGGGTCGACGCAGCATGCTGTTGAGACGCTGAGGAGCCCGAGGTGGGAGGACTGGATGTATGAGGGTGCTGACAAAAGTGGGAATGGGCTGAGGTGGTTGGGGAATGGATGGAGTTTGACGCAGACGGAGGGCGATCCGAGTTGGTATTTGAATCCGGAGGAAATCGAGTTTCCGTGGGACGACAAGCCGGAGGAGAACCCGAAGTATAAGTCGAAGCCATGGTCGCATTGAGGGCGGTGGCGGTTAGAGGAAATTTTTAGCTGAAACTAGTTAGCCAAAAGCAATCTTCACGTACCTTGGACTGGAATGAACTCTGGTGAGCCGGGTATATCGCAAAGCCGCAAGATCAACGTTCACTATGTAAATCGAGTGGAATGATTAGGGTAGTGATTAATATTGTCTGTCTTTTGTAACTGTAAGTGGTCATCTTCGGCCGCCTTTGCCGATAGACTAACATGACGGGTTTCAAGTAAAGGCATAGTAACGTGATACACAAACCGCTGCACGAATTCCTTAAGCGCCAGCCTTGAATGTCCTTCCGCTTGCTGTCTTCTTCTCCTTTTCTTCCGTATCGGGCCTGGCTCTCCGGAGAACCTGGAGGAAATCGGCGGTGCGTTTGCGCATACGCGAGTGGATATACGCCTGGGATGGAATGTCAGATGGAGATCTCTGCGTAGCATGTTTCCCAATGTACCTACCTTGGAGGCCTTGATGTGATAGTGGAAGTAGTCGCGGAAGGTCTGGATATGGGAGATAACATCGGGCATCCGCTGAGGAGTGAGATGGCGAGGGAACAGGACTGCTACTGTTAGTTAAGCCCAGATACAGCTTGTTTCACGATGTGGCATACCAAAAGTGACATAACCAATCTCGCCTGTACCAGTATTCTTCACCCCCGGAACATTCTGAAGCTCGAGAGGAGGATCGTTGCGGAACAGGACCTGGGGGGCGTTCTGGATGGCTCTGCGCCGGGCATCGACGAATTCCTGGATGAAGACCTTGCCGAATACTCTGTCCGTTTCTTCCCTAAAAATGGTACTGAATATGACGGTCACACGGTCGTGGCTGGCCTTGACGTAGATAGCCTCCTCTTCTCGGTAGTGAATAGCCTTGACCTCTCCACCCTCACGGACACCCTGTGGCGCCTCCTCGGATGTAAACTTGGACGCTTCCTCCTTTAGGGCGTAGTGTTCCTGGTAGGCCTGCTCGAAGGGCGCGGCCATGGCATTGCGCTTTAACAAGGCAATCTTCATGACAAGGGCATCGCGGGCCTCCTGTTCGGCGGGGAGGTTCTCGAGGTCGACCTGGATGGAAAAGTCATAGCCGGCCTCGGGAGGGACAACGAGATCGCCATATTCGCGGTTGAGGACCTGCTCAGCGCCGTAGCGAACGAGATCCTGGAAGCATCGAATTTGGAGAGAGACGAGGATCTTGGTCTTGGATTCGGGGGTGGAGATGTGGAAGACGACGCCGTCAAAGTCGGAGACAGTCTGGTCGATGTTGACGGGGGAAGCTCTGGAATGCGCGGTGACGGCGGCGGCAGCGTCAGTGCAAGTTCAGGGGCGGACAGGCGCACTGCGCGTTCGGGCTGGAGACGTGGTAAACATACCCAGGAGCGAAACGCTCGGTGAGCACCGCCTGGATCAGGACGTTCTGGTAGTCGAGCAGCAGCATGTTGACTGTGATTCCTCGTATATATCCGGCGCCGTCGAGTTGTTGAAGCCGGGTCGGGTCAGTTGCGTAGGTAGTGTGTAGGTTCAAATGTCGGGGGTGGGGCCGTGATAGGTAGGTAGCTATTAGAGGTAGAGCGGTCACCTACCTCAGCATGGGCGGGCAGTGTTACAGAGCAAGCAGCACCTCAGCGGCACCTCAGCAGCTGCAGGTGGAATGGGCCAACAAGGTCAGGTCCTCGCTTCAGGCTGGCTGACGTTGCTGGCTCCAGGCTTCAGCACTTTGGCTCCACTCTGGCACCGGAAGACACGCCGCCAAGCCTGGAAACTGCCCCGCAGAACCCGCCCAGGCCGTGACACGATGCGGCGGCGGGACCGGGCCACTTTCAGACAGGGGCCGGGCCAGCCACAGCGGACAGTGGCCGACTGGGCAGGCAGTGGCTGGTGGAAACGGACGGCAAAAGTTCTTATCTTATCACTTGCCGGACTGGCAACGCCAAAAAAAAGTTCAGGGACGGCAACCCACTGCGCAGCGGCGACACGATCGTGCTAGTGGACATTGAATCCCGAGAGACCTTGCGCATGTTATTTTGGATTGGCATCTTGTACTAGTGGCTGTCCAATTATCGCAAATATGGTCAAATCATACCTGTAAGCCTTGCGATTCTGTCCTACTTTCCTCTCGCCTGATGGCATCTCTAATACACCTGGGAACAACAGCAAGTTCGAGCCCTCCAAGTCCTTCGGTGTCGTCGCAACCAGCTCCTCGAATCTCGTCTGGACCTCCTCCAAAGACAAGTCTGGCACCGGTGCGGGCCAGGCCATCGTCGCCGCCAACAATGAGGTTCTAACTTGGGATATCAAGAAGGGCGAGCTCCTCAACCGCTGGAAGGACGAGAACTGCAAAGCCCAGGTCACCGCCATCGCCCAGAGCAAGACCGATCCCGACGTATTCGCTGTCGGCTACGAAGACGGCAGCATCAGGCTGTGGGATAGCAAGATCTCCACCACCATTGTCAGCTTCAATGGACACAAGTCGGCAATCACGATACTGGCCTTCGACAAGTCGGGAGTGCGCCTGGCCAGTGGCGCAAAGGATACCGATGTAATCGTCTGGGATTTGGTCGCCGAAGTCGGCCAGTACAAGCTACGAGGACACAAGGATCAGATTACAGGACTGCGATTCATCGAGCCCGAGCCGCAAATACCCGAGGGCGGCGACGACGAAGAGCAGGCTATGGTGCTGGACAACGAAGCGACAGAAGGTTTCCTCTTGACGACCGGCAAGGATGCGCTCATCAAGCTCTGGGATCTTTCATCACGGCATTGTATCGAGACCCATGTGGCACAGAACAGCGGCGAGTGCTGGGCGCTCGGTGTTTCTCCCGACCTTAGTGGATGCGTCACAGCTGGCAACGACGGCGAGATGAGAGTATGGGCTTTGGATGTAGCAGGACTCGCTTCGTCAGCACGCAAGGTCGATCTCTCGCAAGCAATCAACTTCCTCCATGATCGCGGCACACTACACCGTTCGAGCAAAGAAAGGGCCGTCGAGGTCATCTTCCACCCCCGTCGCGACTATTTTGCAGTACATGGCGTCGAGAAGTCTGTCGAGATTTGGAGGATACGAAACGAAGCCGAAATCAAGAAGAGCTTGGCAAGGAAGCGGAGAAGAAGAAGAGAGCTGGCTGCGAAGAAGGGCAAGAAGGAAGCAGAGGCGGAAGAGGAAGATGACAAGAGCGATGATATTTCAAAAGCAGACATCTCCGACGTCTTTGTGCAGCATGTTATCGTGCGGACAACAGGCAAGGTTCGGTCGGTCGCCTGGGCCCTCAGTCAAGGAACCAAGGATCTCCAGCTGCTTGTTGGAGGCACAAACAACCTGCTCGAGACATATACCATTGTTGGAAAGGATAAGCTCAAGTCCAAGGGTGATGCGCCAGACTACAACAAGGCGCTTGCGGTGGAGCTTCCCGGACACCGAACAGACATTCGTGCCCTCTCCATCAGCTCAGACGACAAGATGTTGGCTTCGGCAGCAAACGGCTCCCTCAAGATCTGGAACATCAAGACCAACACATGCATCCGGACATTCGAGTGTGGCTACGCTCTCTGCTGTTCCTTTTTGCCTGGCGACAAGGTGGTCGTGGTCGGAACCAAGGAGGGCGAGCTTCAGCTTTACGATGTTGCTTCGGCATCTCTGTTAGAGAGCGTTAACGCCCACGAGGGCCATGCCATCTGGTCACTACAGGTTCACCCAGACGGCAAGTCCGTTGTTTCTGGCGGTGCTGACAAGACAGCCAAGTTCTGGGACTTCAAGATCGTTCAGGAACAGGTTCTTGGCACGTCAAGGACAACCCCCAAGCTTAAGCTTGTCCAGTCCAAGATTCTCAAAGTATCAGACGATATCTTGAGTCTCAGGTTCTCCCCTGACGCGAAGCTGCTTGCTGTTGCTCTTCTCGACAGCACTGTCAAGGTCTTCTTCGTCGACTCTCTAAAGCTCTACCTCAACCTCTACGGTCACAAGCTGCCCGTTCTCAGCATGGACATCTCCTACGACAACAAGCTTATCGTCACAAGTTCCGCCGACAAGAACATCAGAATATGGGGTCTCGATTTCGGTGACTGCCACAAGGCTCTCTTCGGTCACCAGGACTCCATCCTCCAAGTTGCTTTTGTTCCTCACAACTCGGACGGCAACGGCCACCATTTCTTCAGTGCCAGCAAGGACCGCACCATCAAGTACTGGGATGCCGACAAGTTCGAGCAGATCCAGAGGATCGACGGCCACCACGGCGAGATCTGGGCCATTGCCGTTGCTCACAGCGGCCAGTTCCTCATCAGCGCCAGTCATGACAAGAGTATCCGCGTATGGGAGGAGACGGACGAGCAGATTTTCCTCGAAGAAGAGCGCGAGAAGGAGATTGAGGAGCTGTACGAGAGTACGCTCACCACCTCGCTCGAGCAAGACCCCGACGCCGAGGACGAGAACCGCGAAGTCGGCGCTGCGTCCAAGCAAACGGTTGAGACGCTCATGGCGGGTGAGCGCATCGCCGAGGCGCTCGAACTCGGCATGGCCGACCTCAACGCTATCAAGGAGTGGGAGGAGGCCAAGCAGCAGAATCCCAACGTGGCGCCGCCGCAGCGCAACGTGCTTTTCATGGCGCTCGGCAACATCAGCGCCGAGCAGCATGTCATGAACGTGCTGCAGAAGATCAAGGCGTCGGCGCTGCACGATGCTCTGCTCGTTTTGCCATTCGCCACCGTCCCCATGCTCTTCACCTTCCTCAACATCTTTGCCATGCGCTCCATGAACATCCCGCTTACTTGTAGGATTCTGTTCTTCATGCTCAAGACCCACCACAAGCAGATCGTGGCGAGCAAGACGATGCGCGCCATGTTGGATGGCATTCGCACCAACTTGCGTGGTGCACTCAAGCGCCAGAAGGATGAGATGGGATACAATGTTGCGGCGCTCAAGGTCGTGGGCATGCAGTTGCAGCATAAGAGCGTGAAGGATTATGTTGATGAGAAGTGGGAAGAGGAGAACGAGGAGAACAAGGCGGTCAAAAAGCGTGCTTTCGTGCAGGTTTCTTGAGCGTCGGATGGTTAGGGTTGGCGAAGGAAACAAAAGCCAGCATGATACATGGGAATGACCGACAGGTGGAGGAAGGGTAGTGTAGGTGGAACGAGTAGAAGGGATCTGGAAGAGAACAAATCTGTTCAGCACATAACACAACATACATAGGGTGTCTGCGTAGGGGAGAAAGGGGTAAACGGTGTTGATACCGGTTCTCTCTCATATGACAAAATAGGGCAACGTTTCTTATTCTGGAGTTGGGGTCTAGTTAAAACGGCATTGCATAGTATTTGTTACCCTTATCTCCAAACTGCTCTGTCTTGATTCTCCCCCATCAAATTCTCCATCTCAACTTCCGGAAGGGAAACGCGTGATGTCGTGATCAGTTCGTCTTCGTGGTGCCGCAACCTATCGTTCACCGTCCACTATCATTCTCTTTTTCTATCCTTCGTTGTCTCGTATTCCCCCTTTTCCCTCGTGTCCCCCCTTTTCTCAGATTTCCCCTCACACCTGTCTTACCTTCACTCCCTCTCATCTTCCCATTCCGATCCCCAAATATGTTCTACCTTACCCTCGTTCAGCCGCCTCTCGCTCTCTCGGCCTCAAGTCCCCTCCCTTCCTTCCCCCTAATCACACTTGTCGAGTTGCCTCTCACATAACACAACACCGAACCTCAACCCCCGGGTCCCCTCCACTCGGTCCTGCACCAAGCTTAATCCCCTTCTTAATCTTGGTAACCATCCTGACCTGATTCCGATCGTAAACCCCCCTCAAGTCACACTCCGGACACGGTTCGCCGCGGGCGATGTAAGCGGGCGGAGCAGGCTTGGCTACTAGGTGTTGGTGGTGGGGGCAGTTATGTTGGATTTGGTGGTAGGGAGGGCCGGGAAGATGGACTTGACAGGCGTTGTGGCCTTGGATTTGGAGTTGGCCTTGAATGGGAGTGGTAAAGGTAGCGGTGTGGCTGGGGGTGTGATTTGGATGGGAATGTTGCTGGTAGGGGCAAAGGGGTTGGTGGCAGAGGCCGTCGGGAGAATGGTGGTTGTAGTGGTAGTTGCGTGTGTTGTTGTAGGAAAAAGAGGGACAGGTGTTGAAGCCCGCGCCTGGGAGACAAGGAGTGGTGATGCGCATCCAGCGGTGTTTGCAATGCGTGTCTTTGTAAAGGGTTGTTTGGCACATTGTGGTTGTTTCCCGTCGGTGGGGTACTGGTGGTGTCAAGGTTGTTATGTTCAGTTCCTACTTCTCTTACGCCTCCTCAAAGGGTACGACACGGCGCCTTGGTATTAAGATATGAAGGTGAGAGATGGCTGACTGTCTGGGAGGTGGTCGTGACGGCTTGCTAGCGATTTCTTTTTCCTGCTTTGCTTCTTGAGGAAGGCGCGATGGGCGCTGGCTCCGGCGGCCCGAGGTTGAGGGCTTGACTATAATAGACACCGGGAGATATTAGGGGTAGCGAGAAAGCGCTGGGGATGGCTTCTTGTAGTTTATCTGAGCATCAAATGGGAAATCATTTTCTTGTCAAGGAGGAGCGAGCGCGAGTGACTGTGGTTTGTGTGGGTGAACTACCTATGCCGATGATCAGATGAAAGGGGCAGTCACTCACAAGTTTTCTAAGGCCTCGACTCGTGGATCATAGGTATCGCGAGGATAGCGATGAGTTGAATCATGCCGTCCAATGTCACAGGATACAAACGCAACAGCTAGTGTCTGGGACCGAGGGTTGGAATCGAACCCCAAACAACCCAACTTGATCCATGTTGAGATCTTGGATAATCAGACGCTTGCAGACCCTCCGCTGAGTGTGGGGTTATGTGTCTACCAGTTCTGCACCTAGTCTTGTTAGTATCCCTATCAAGGTTCGAGACGACGAAGGGAGGAGTCGATGGAAATGACCAGATTTATGTATTCTTGTTTTGGTGGATGTTAACTACCTCATAATCTTGACAATCCCCAAATAAAATCCTCTTTGATTCCTTTCCTGAACCTCTACAAGGTTAATTCAACACACCAATAGCTCCGTCATGCCTTGAAATATATGCTTCTTTTTCCGACTTTCTTCACCTATTTTGTGACCTTTATCCAACGGATGAATACCATGCTGTCGTTCCGTCTTGGCCCAAGCAACTCTACCCATCATGACTCTTCTGAAGCAGATGAGGTATGTGTCGGCACAGGGGATGTGCTCTGGGACCGACCTCTTTTTGTAGATTCCACATCTGAACTTTTGTCCTGCCGTAGCTTCCCATGAGTTTCACCTGAGACGTTGTTACCGTCCTCCTTGTCACTTTCCTCGCTGGCGGAGATGTCTGCAGATGAATGGTGTTCCTGCTCCTCCTCGTGCTCCTCCATCTCCCGAGCCATCTCTTGATCCAAATCCAGCTCCTGATCCTGCTCCTTTTCCTGCTCCTCCTGGTCCTGGTCCATCTCCTGGTCTTGTTCCTGGTCCTGATCCTGAACTTGGCCCATCTCATGATCCGGCTCTTCCAATGCTGCTCCAGCCTCCGGGAATGATACTAACACGGCAGGCCGCTTGTCAACCGACTGTTCCTGGCTCTGGCTGTCCTGCACCGTATTTCTGGCCTCTTGCTCGGCCAATAGCTGACCGGCTGGTGACGCTTCATCTGGTTCGGATTGCGGTCCTTGTGCATCCGATGGCTGTTCTGCAGGCTGTTGTCTCGGAGGAGTGACCGGGGGATTCGGGGCTACACCGGAAGCCGCCGCCTGAGGTGATTGGGTGCTGCCACTGACGCTTACAGGACCGGGGCCAGGCTGAGGGGGAGCTGGTCCGGGCGGCCTGAACTCTCTCGACCCTGGAAATGGTGGCACTGGCACCATCCCCGGGGCTGGACCAGGAACTTGCCCCGGTCCGCCCGGTGCAAACGGGGAAGGTTGAGGTGGAAGGTTGGGAGGAAGCGCAGCAGGCTGAGCGTACGGAGGCGCCTGGGGGGTTGCATAATAGGGCGTGAATTGAGGAAATTGAACTATCATTGGCATCTGGAACTGCGGACCATATGTGTATGGTGCCGGGTAGGATCCGGGGTATGGCTGTGGCGGAGGTCCTCCTTGATACGGTGCACCTTGATGAGGTGGGTATACTGGGCCTCCTGGGCTAGGTTGGGGATATGGCGGGTAGCCGGGGTGGCCCTGAAGAGGACCTGGCGTATGGGGCGCTTGGTGCGGAGGACCATAGTGAGGAGGAGGAGGAGGAGGAGGAGGAGGAGGCTGACCATAGCCATGCTGAGGATTGAAAGCGGGCGGTCCCGGCTGATAAGGGTATCCTGGCGGTGGTTGATGATGAGCCACTTGCGGAGGGTACGTGTGCTGTAACTGATGATACTGCGGCGGGATTTGGTCAGGTTTGGGCTGATAGGGGTTGAAAAATGGAGGCTGAGGCTGTGACGGCTGAGGCGGTTGAGAGTATGACGGCTCCCCGGGAGGACGAGGAACATAGGGATGATGATTCACCGTCCACTGGGCGGGCGGTCTCTCGAGTTGCTGACCAGGTTGCACAACGACAGGACCGTTGGTATTTTGTGTGTGTGGCCCAGCCGGCGGCGCCTGGGCAACGGGCGGTCTTGAAGCAGCCTGCGAGTTCACATTCGTTCCTAGAGCTGCAGTGTGCGTGGAAGAAGCGGACGAAATCGAGATGGCACGAGCAGGAGTGTTCCTGGCGACTGCGCCACGGTTCCCTTCTCCAGCCATGGTAGCGCGTTGCTGAGATCCTCTCGCACTTCCGTCACTCAAAGGCGCAGTTGGCTGCTGTTGTGGTTGCTGTTGAAGTTGTGGCTGTTCAGATCCTTCTCGAGATGCCGGTTGAGGTGCTTGCGGATTAACTATGAACTCAACACGGGTTCCCGGCCTTGGCTGATCGGAACCCGGGTAATCACCCGGCTTCGATTTGGGCAGCTCAATGCCTGTGCCCTCTAGGATTTTCTCGCGGGAATCCCACCAGCCTTGGATGGTTGGGATGGGAATCTTCCACCACTCGGAGGCCTCAACGTAGGTAGGAGCACGATACCAGACTAGCTGTCCGTTGGCGTCGCGGGTTGCAGTTTGGGGGACGGGTTCCTGTTCGTGTGGCGGCTGGCCGATTCGACGACGAGGAGCCTTGCGTGGACGATAATCGGCAATCCGATGGTTCAGCAGGAATTGTAGAACCTCGATTTTGCGTTCCCGGGAATAAGAGCGTTCGACCCTTCTCACAGGCTTTGGGGCCGTCCAAGGACGTTCTGATATTGGTTTTGGAGCTGGGCCACGCTTCTTAGCTGGGATTCCTTTGGCGGTCAAGCGCACTACTGGGGGCGGCGGAGGTTTCCTGGGTGCCATGACCAATGCTTATATGAGCACAGCTCGAGATTGACGCAGTCTTGAAGGTGACGAGACCGGTCATAGAGTGTGGAGAGAGCAGACCTGGTGCAGTACACCAACGTGTTGGCACATGGTGGCCCGATCACGTCTGCTGCAATATCGTCGGTGGTCCGGTGGTGGTTTGGCTGCGTTGCTTGCTCAAGTATCCGGTGTTCGGATACTGGTGGCGCGCAGTTTACTCCAAAAAGAGCTAGACGGAAAAAGCTGTATCCAATAGACGGCTGAGCTAAGTGGACACCAACTACGAATTCTGGCTTGTTTTGCAGGTGGGTACGTATACCTCAGATTCTTTCAATTCAGAGTTGACGGATTGGGGAAGATATGGGTGAGGACAGTGAGAATTCCAGTTAGGTCGAGACTTTGGGTCCAAGGCGTTTTCATAATGTGAATATTGTCTTTCCAAATTCAAAACCACCGTGTTGGATCTTATTGATGCCTTTCGGACCCGTACCTAGCCATTCATTCAATGGTTTAGGCCAGCATCAAATTGTACGTTGAAGGTACCTAGGTCACCTAGCAAGCAGCTCGAGGCTTGCACGTACTAGCTCTGCTCGAGGTACTGAGGATAAATCGATGTGTCCATGGGGAAACGCGTGTGCAGACAGCTACATTGTGCAAGTCGTGACTACCCTGGCTGAGCAGCCACTTGCATGGAACACTGCCATTGCAACCGACTCATCAACTCATCGACATTCGGCAAACCTCGAAAAAGCTGCATCGCGCCCGCCACTAGAGGTAAGTACAGGTAGAGGTACCTCTTTTATGAAACGCAGCTGAAGTCGCGGGAAGGCACCTGTCTCGGTCCCTCGGAAGACCTGCCCCCAAAGGTTCCCTAAAGCCTCCAACTAACCCCAAATATAGCGGCTAAGCCCCGCTATCTGTCCCACTCATGGAAGACCCTTACCCCCTTCCTTCGAGCGGTGCCTGGCTGGGGTGGGGATTGAGGGTACCAAAGAAGCTGGAGACCTGGATGCCTGCCCTAGCGTATGCCTTGCTGCTGTCTGCGCCAGCCTAGAACAATTTGGACATTGGGGACCTCGTCCAATCTCCGTGTGTCGCGAACCGAACCCAGATCCCTCCCCGTCCAAGAACGATGCCTCCAACTCGCCGACAAGCTGAAAGATTACGTCCTTTCCGATGGCGCCGGGCGAAGAACCCAGATTTACACACGCATCTTCCCCTCCAAGTTCCCAATCCGTAAATCTATAGTCAACCACACCTCCGCCATCCCGACCGACGGCGCCTTTGTCGACCGTTGCCTTTTTGGATACAACAACACTCGCTTTCTTCGTCGTCTTCGCCTCTGGCCAACTTGAACGCCGCGCGGCGCGTATATCAAAAGTTCTGACAACAATTCTAGCTACAACTACGCTTTGTAACTTATATCCCATCTTTCGACCGACTACACATCTATACCCGACACCATATTCTGCAATCGTAATCGCTACTGTATCTACACTTCAAATCATGGGCCTTTTCGCAAAAAAGAAGCATGACCACGAAAAGGGCGACTCCGAGGCGCATTCGCCATCTCCCAATACGCAGCTCGGTGCCCCCGAAATCACGTTCGTCCGTACCGATACGTTTACCGAGGAGATAATCTTTCCTCCTGCGAGCCCTGTAACCGAGAATGATGCCGACCACGATTCATACCTGTCCGCCGAGACGGCGTCAGGAACGCCAGCAAGGGGTCGCCTTAGTCTGGACGTCTTCCGCAGCAATCGCAGTCGTAGCCAATCTATGAGCAGCAATCCCAAGAGCCCCGGAGCCAAGCGCGCCTCGCGGTTCCATTTACATCGTAGCCCAGTGAGCTCCGAAAATGTGCCTCAGAACCTGCCGGACGTGCCTGCTATCGTGGTTCCCGAGGGCGATGAAGATAAGGAGGGCAAAGAAGCCCAATGGGAGAAGCGCGCAACCATGTTGGCACGCAAGAACTCCGAGGTTCGCAGTCGTCCAGGAACCCGCCCGGCCAGCCCTACCCGCAGCGTTAGTAACGACTTTGCCCGTATGCGCCTTGGAAGTGGCCCGACCGAAGCGGAAGAATGGCCTTTGAAAAGCGAACCTGGGGCTGCTGCGCCTGCTCCGTCTGCAACCAAAGCTGTTTCGTCCAAGGCTATTGATGAAGATATCCAGCAGGCCATCAAGTGGCATGAAGAAGGAAACTTGGAGGAGTCCACTGCTCTATTTGGAAAACTGGCGGACCCAGAAGGGCCAAATAATCCTCTAAGCCAAGTTCTGTACGGCCTTGCTTTGCGGTACGTGCCTCTTCACCTTTTTCGCTCCGGTATTCCGTTGGTCTCTTGTGCTCGTTCGTAGGGCAGTGATTCGGGTGTATTCACCGGGATGTTCTGTTGCGTCTGTTGCGGTCTTGGTTCCGTGATACTTGATAACTCCATACGAGTGTATCTATCCGTTGCTAACGCGAGGGTGCAGGCACGGATGGGGATGCACCCCTGACGCAGCCAAAGCCGTGACATATCTCTCAGCAGCAGCCTCGAACGCCGCCGAAATCGAACAACTCGCCCTCCAGGCTGGGCTTAAGAAGGGCGGCGCTGCCAAAGGCGAGCTCGTCCTGGCCATATTCGAACTGGCAAATTGTTTCCGTCATGGCTGGGGTATTCCTAAAGACCCGATAGCCGCGAAACAATACTACGAGACAGCGGCAAATTTGGGAGATTCTGGTATGTCCCCGAGTACCAAGTTTCTATGTGTGGGCTAACAGTTATGTCGAAAAGACGCCATGAACGAGGTAGCATGGTGCTACCTTGAAGGTTTCGGCACAAAAAAGGACAAAGTCAGTATCACATCCACCAACACACTACCATCTACCAATGACGCGGTTTTTTTTATCTTTACGTCGAGCAGCCTCGTGGGCTCTTGCTTTCTTGCGCAACTCTTGCGCATCAATGAGGCTTGGTCAGCAGCGCAAATCGGAGGGGAAATTCACCTCAGTTGACACGTTTCAAAGAGATATACATACATAAGGCTGACCAAAAACACTCACCATTAGTACACCGCCGCAAAATATTACCGCCTGGCGGAGAAGAACGGAAACAAGATCATGGGCAATACCTGGTAAGCGCTTTCATTTTCCTTGCCCAGCATCAACCACCCACACTCACAACACACCGACGCAACCCATTGACAACGGTTGCCGAGTATCGGGACATTCCGAAACCGTAAATTGGGTTTCTCAGAAATGGCTTGCGGATGCATTGTGACAGAGTGCCAGTCGTCCATTGGTACATCAACGACCAAGCATCCTTGCTCGCCCTGCCTCTCACGTGTTATGGTGCTGTGCATGGCCTTGGATATTCTTCTCTCAGCCACTTCCCGAGGAAGTATCAGGTTGAGAAAGGGGGTCTGATGCCGGGACGGTTACGTTAAGTCTAAAATTGGACCTTCAACGTTGATCAGCCGCCGAGCACATCACTCCGTTTTTCTTTTCCGTTCACGCAGATTCACCCTTTCCTAGACTCTAATACTGGATATCCACCCTCTTCCGTTTCATACCGCGTCCAAAGTGACTAATATGTCGTCGTACACTAGGATCTGGAAGGAAAAGTATGACCCGGGAAAAAAGAAGTAAAAGGAGGGGGGTCCAATTATTTATTGGGGGTTTTTTTTCTGGTTTTCTTATATTCCAAAAAGTAGCGAAAAGCGGAATCAAGAACAGGGTTACCGAGCGCGAAGAGCCCAAAAACCTGTTCTAGACACTTGCTCTCTGTGAAATCTATGGTCTCAGCGGCCGGATCTGAAACAGCCAGCCAGCCAGTTAGTCAGTTAGTCAAAGAGCGGTAGGCTGGCAGGGTAGGGTTTTTTTTTTTTCTTTCTTTCTTTTTTTTTTTTTTTTTTTTTTTTTTTTTTTTTTTTTTTTTTTTTTTTTGCATTTACCGCAGGAGAAATGACATTCCATAACATATATCAGATACAAGGAACATTAATGACAACGCGTTCACGGCCGTACCCGAAGGTCTAGAACATTTGCATGGATTCTATGTCAAAGCCAACCAGCAACTTGGCAACAGCAACCGCAGTTCAACCACATGGTCTCGCATGGTTTGCGGTGTCAGATACTGCAAAAGGGTGCAGGATCGGGAAGGATCAGAGCAGGAGCAGCAGGATCGCCTGGAACCCTGAGCTCGTGCTCGTTCTGCTTTCGCAGACATGCCGTCGGTCGTCGTGCCGGCTATTTCCTTCACTTCGGTCTAGTCCCCGAATACCTACCAGCCAGGAGCCCATGCTTGCGTCGTAGTATACGTGCTGGAGTATGGGATACTGGGTAAGGTATAATCGGTACGTGAAAGGCAGTCAAGGTTGTGTTTCATATTCACGTATGGTTGGAAAAACAGCGATGTATCCAAGTATATCTTTCTGCGCGTGTAAGATAAAGTTTTTACTGGCTTCTCTAATAACGAACGACACTTGGATAGTTTTCACTTTTTCCCAGCCTCCAGCCTTCTCCTTTTCAGAAGAAAAGAAAATACATTGCTTAGTCCGGCCTGCCATCCTTTGGGACGTTTGGCGGATGGCGATGCCATGATATGCCATGCTGGGTCGTGGGGCCTAACAAAGATCAATATCAATAATCTAGGTACCTACTACTATCATTCCCGCCACTCAACGCAGGAGGCTCATTTACCACACGTCTGACGTTGGATTTCCCTCACTCCCGGTCCAGGTCTAGTCCGTGTCAAGCATTCGGAGAAGTGAAGTCGTATCGTTATCGACTGGACTGATGAGACGGCAGTGAACGGTAGATCAACGACGATGAGAGAAGATGAAATTGCATATGTCCATGTAATCAACTATAAACAATTATTGTCAACACAACCACATTAAGCCTATTCGTGATGACACCGAGTGATGTAGACGGGACGCCGGATAATGGTCGCAGATAGAGGTAGTAGTAAGATAGCGAGGATTATGCGATAACCTGGAGGTCGGCATGCACAGAGTTCAAGATGAGGTGGCTTTGCGCATTGTCCATATCGCAGGCGATTTTGATTGATACTCCTGATTTGATATCGTGGTGTCATCGTTGATGATCATTTTGTTGGTGTCATTGCTGTTTTTGGTACGGTCGGCTTGTGATAGCCTTGTCGTTGCCATTTCACCGTTGTCATTGCCATTGCCCGCCCGAGCCGCCGTCAGTCGTCGTCGTTGTTTATCTCCGGATACCACCGTTGGAACCATAACCATATCAATGATTCTATCACTTCTCATTTCTTTTCTTTTCTTTTCTTTTCTTTTCTGGTTTTCTCTCGGACATCTGATTCCCCATTCATCATGGTCCATATGATCCATGATGATGATCCATCCCCAGCCTCCTCATTTTTTTTTTTTTCTCGAAAGCGATTTTGTACATCACGTTGCATCTCTGCTGCATCTTGAAACTCTGAAACATCACCCATTTCCACACTGCCACTGGACTGCGCTCCATTCCTCGCCCAACAACCACTCAGGCCGCGACAAAATCTGAAACGTCGTTTCAGATTAGGGGTTTTTCTTTTCTCTCTTTCTTTTTTGCAGCTGCATTTGCATAAGTGCATGCATATGCCAGCCCCTTAGATCGGCTACGCTTCATACTGTGTACGACGCAGCCGGCTACATATTAGTGTACGCTAAAACATCCCACATTCCGACTCAACCTTTCAGCCCACTCTACTCACCCACCCAATTACCCACCACCCAACGGGCAGCGATATGCAAGTTGCAAGAACTTGTGAACTTTTCAAGGTCCGCTAACGACTGCAAGGAAATCTCTTTCTGTCTTTGGTTCCGTGCTTTGCTGTCCTGATTGAACCGGTAAGAGCCAGTGAAGATTCAGAGAACGTCCAAGACTTGATGTTGCTTTGCATATGTAAGATTCTGGTTTGCTTTTTTTTTTCTTTTTTTTTCTCCCCAGGGTACAGAGGCTGAAGAGGAGGTTCGCTGTGAGAGCTCGGTGGTCGATCACTTCCGATGCGATATGCGACTGCCTTACCCGTCATTCTGGGTCGCGTCGGTCGGTCTCCCGATTCCCCCCCGCCATATGGTGAGAGCGGTGGTGTGGTCCGAGGTGCCCGGTGCGATGCCCGGTGCCGGCCCGACGTTTCATGTTTGGTACTTGCAGTGATGACTGGTGATATGGTTCGGTCAGTGATCGAATCGGTTCCGGTTAGTGTCGACACCTACCTACACATATGATCGGCTTCGATCGGACGATAAAACGGCTGGGTCGTGGATGATTACTTGTTTGTCTGTTATTGCTGACTCTGTAGGGGCATGGCCGGTCGAGGTCACTGCGCCCGCACCGCACATATCCATCGATATCCACACACGATTCCGGTGCGGTAGGTACATACGGCGGACCCGACCCGTGATGCAAATAAAGGTGGATGTTCGGGTTCCGCTGGAGTCGGGGGGTACTAGGTAATGTGAACGGAGAACGCGGACGGAAAGGTGTAGTGGAGACGACGGAGATGTAGACAAGAAAACGGAGGAGGGGTCTATTTTTCCCCCCCCGTAAGACGTAAACTACGTGCAGGTGGGGCTGAGGGGCCGTTGCAGGATTCTTACGCTAGCATATGTGGTTGATTATTTCCGCAAATAAATCCACAATGTTGTCTGCAGAAGCATCGATTCTGTCATTGCGTGGGGATTGATTGCAGTGTGCAGTGGGCGAAAAGTAACGGAGCGTTTGCGTGTGAGTGAGTGAAAGAGGGCTCTGGGTCGGCATGCCTTCACTCGAGTTGGTCACTTGATCAGCAAAAGCTTTGACCAACCGAGCTTTCGTTGTGTGCACCCCAGTCCTCCCCCCATGTTGTTTACTTGCCCCTTTTTCTGATCCTTTTGTCTATCAGCGTCCATGGTCCCTGGGCGCTAGAGTACGCAATCTCAGAGACGACGACATACTCTTTAGTTTACACATCGGCATCTTATGACCGGACACTCTTAAATGCGCTCCCGTTCAAGTAGTAAATGCGGTCATCTCGCTCACTTTGTTTGACACACTCATCGATGTTATGATCACGCATTCACTCAGCTGCGGTCGCTTGAAATGGCCCATTGTTGTGCTTGAGGCGTCGGTAATACGATCTGGGTAATGGTCTTAGACCGAGCGTGCGGTGCAAAGAGCCCGGTCTTCCGTGAAAGAATCGTCTAACCATCATCATTTACCACCATACCTTTAGGTTTCACTCGCTCATCGGGCGCCAGTGGCGCCTCTCAGCATGCACTACCTCAGGGCAACACCCTGCGAGAGCAATATTGGAGAACATCCGATGGAATGTCCCACTTCCTTCAATTCCTTCCTTCGATGGCGTTTGCGTTCATGCAAAAATCCATTTCCTACTCGGCACCACCTGCTATTCTTGTCAGCCAAGCTTCTCAAACTCAAAAAAGGATCTACCTTGATAGATAACGGGAGTAAAGCCTCAGCGGCTCCGCCAGGTTCTGCGGTATGCAGTACGCCGGCTCGTAGTCGTATGTCTCCGTGCTTCGGTGACACCGAAACACACCGTACGATCACTGCCGTGCCCTTGCAGTGAATAGTAAAGCGCTAGGCTTGGTCGTCCTGGAGGAACAAGGGAAGGTATTCTGTTCTCCTTTGTTCTGACAGGCGTAGTACCCCAACACTTAAAGATGTAAACGATGGCATCTTAGGGCTCACGGTCACAGCAAGTAGAGCCTGAGCTAATCTTGCCGCTGCGAGAGGCAGTACGGCGGCAAAGGCGGCAGTCTATATCCATCACTATAGCTAGTGGTATGCAAATCACTGACTGCCTTCAGCCAGTTGGGTGTAGCCGTAGTTTTGCAACTCCCCTTACTCGAGGTGAGAGCGAATTTCTAGCACTTCGTCAATATTTGTACGTGTGGATGAACGATGTAATGGGTAAAGGCACAATGGCGGGTGTGATATGGATACCTACCCTCAGGCCCCTATTGAGCAGGCATACTCAGCCGGATACGAGGCAAATAGATGTACGACAACAACAACGTCCCCATGGACCAAGGGCCACAAGACTGGACGGTCCCGTATGACATGACGTTAGACAATGCTTCGGACACAAGGCGTGCGTGCCGTCATAACAATAAGGCACTGGAAACCGGAATGATGTAGAACCTGTGATGATGGATGGCTTGAATTGTTCCTTGCGTGCCTTTAGCGAGAGGGCATTGCTTGCAAAGGAATACGGGCTTCTGAGGCTGAAGAAACGGTTCGACGACACCGAGTGATACTTTTTGGTCAGTTGTCACTCCATGTGGTTCGAAAGAAGCTCGATATTAAATGGGCAAATATTGAGAGACAATGCTTTTCCTTCAAGCTCTCCCGCGCGTGTGTCTGTGTGCTCAACCGATGGTCGAATACTGACACCGGAGCTCCCCTGTGTCCGATATTCCTTTATTTTTCCGGGCCTTTTTTGCCTTCTCCAAAGTTAGGCCAGGTAGATAGGTATACCGTGACGGAAACCCGCAGACCTGGCACACTGTAACACGACAGCACGTATGTTTCAGATTGAGGGAACACAACGTCTACAATCTTTGGTAGATCATCGTAGTCATTAGACATGCAGCGCTTGTAGCATTGTCTCAGACAACTTGTTCCCTTGTTCCCCCATTCCTTCCATGAATCTTCCTTGCTTCCTTGCCTCGGTTGAGTTGATCATCACTCCTCCAGCTTTGGGCTTCAGCGCGAGATGATGTCGGTTCGGAAGTCCCTTGTTGGTTCCTCGGGCTGGGATGATCACTGCAATTCGCTTTCCAAGAAGGTGGAAGACGTCCGGGAATTTAGTTGCTGATGAATGGAACATGGGGACGACTGTGTCGCCGACCTCATCTAACGAGACAAACGGCAAGGTCAAAGGGGGAGTTGGATATACCTGACCTGACCTGACCTAGCCCGACCGTGTTGACGACCGAAAACTGAGGCCCGCGCCGTGACAACGGGACAATGGGACAATGTCTATAATAACAACTTAATGAGGTTGGGAAGAACGGGAAACATTCCCAACCAATCAAGTCCCATTGCTGCCTAATCGCCTCACTCGCCTGGTGGTTTCGATGAGTAGAGGTACTTTCTACCCCCTTCCTTCCTTCCTTCCTTCCTTTCTTCCTTCCTTTCTTCCTGCCTCAATCATGGATACTAGCTGTTTGCGTCTGTGTGTGCGAGTGGCAGTTCCTTCGTCTGTTCCGTCCCTTCAGTTTGTGGCCCAGTCTTACAAAAGGAACCGGGAGGAAGGAACGAATCAACCCACAAGACTGAGGCACCTCCGACAAATGACTCCAGTCTCCCAAAGACGGGATGGTCACGCCACCCCTCCTCACGCAGTCCTCGGCCCTCTTGTAGAGGAACCCGCACAGGCCCATGAATTCCTGGCTTATTGTCAGAACCCAAGGCAGACACAGAACCATTGTAATTCGGGCAGTTACAACTCGCGATCGCGATCTCTTCCACCTTATCTTTGGGTCGATGCGAAATGGCAGACCACCGACCTATCCAAACCCCTCTTCGATACCCAAGAAAATGTACCGTACACTTACAATTACCAATGAGTGATGCATTGCCCCTTGCGCGTTCCTTGCGTTCCTTGCGTGCACTACTTTAGAGCATGATGGCACAAAAAGGCACGAGGAACACAAGGCTGCACACGACCTAGTCAAGGCCATTTGAATCACCCTATCGAATCGCCGTTGAGAAACTTCCACTCCGTTTCAACAACCCAACGGATCAACCCCGGATTTTCCGCTCACATTGCAGTAGCTTTTGCAAAGAAGTTGATGATTTGTAAGTAGTTAGGTAGTGAGCCCGGTGAAAAATTACGGAAGAAAGAAGTCCAGTATACAACAACGGCGGCAGCTCGCTCGGCTGGCAGGTTTTGGTGCAACAGTGGTTTTGTTTCCTTCTTTTCTTCCATCATCGAATTTAACTGGTTGTCGAACCAAACGTTGAAGTATGGATCCTTGCATTGGCGTTGCATGCTGCTTTCTGGCATCCGCTCCGCATTTGCCTGCATCGTGTGAGTCGTGGGTGCAAGTGTGAGTGTCGAACCTGCGCAAATGCGTGGGAACACTTCTCCTTCCTTAAGAATGACGGCACTAGGGAGTGCGAATTAATTAATTGCATGGCATGGGAGCGTGGGGTTGACATCTGAATGGATGAATTGGAGTCGGTTGTTGCTGGCAAAGAGGATCGTGAATGGGTGAGATGGGATGAGATGGTGGGATGGCGTCAGACATTATTGGTTAGGTTTGGGAGAGAAGAAGGTACTTTACTCACAATAAGAACATCGAGACTACCAACGAACCAATGCCTGCCGTCTTGGCTGTGTTGTCTTGATCTCTAGGTAAGGGAGTAAAAGAGATGATAGAGCGGAAGAATAGAGCCTGTGAATAAACAAGTTTTAGGTTTTAAGAGTCAACATGTGATGTGTGATCAAAGAATGTGTAGTACTGTGTATAATATCGAGGACTATAACCACTGGTACATTTGAATGGGGGTATTGTAATGGCATGGCGTGACACCATTCACACACCCTCTCAACAACTAACCGAGCAGCCGATCAACTAACTAGACATGAACACGGAGCCGGGTCAAACCTCTCATTCTTTCGGCTAGGAGATTTCGACTTGGGGTAAAGTAGATACCGAGTAGGCATCTGTTATGTTTTGGAGGTTCGGACAGTGATGAAAGCCTGTTCTGGTGTTTGGTGCCTTTTTTTGTTCCTTCTAATACAACAGTCACGGATGTCAAAGAGATAGCCGACCGACCGACGCTTCAGAACGCCTGGCCTGTCTCGTGTCTCCTGCACCAGTTTTTCTATCAACCCATGACGACTGACGTAGCACCTTGTGCCGCAAAAAGAAAAAGTTGCGTAAGGGGGGGGGGATACAATCGGCGGATTGGATCTGTTCGTATAGCGAAAGGCACTTGAGATTCATTGAGAGCAAAGGATTTGGGCTTCAGACGCATTGATTGTTTCGCTATGTGAACTTCGCTAACTAGCTACAGGCTTGAGTGTAGGAAACAGGTGTTTGTTCGTTCCAATGAATGTCGGGTATGGATCTTTTGTTGCTTTTCTTCCTCCCTCTGGCAGTGGCCGAAAGGCCTCTTTGAAAACCCACAGCTAGTGAGCCTCCGCGTCAATGTATGTTGTGTCTTCAAGTTTGCATGTTGTAACCCGTGAAGCGGTTTTTGTGCCGCCGCCGTAAGTGGCCCTCGTCGACATGACGGTCGCAGTTTCATGAGCAATCCGCATTCAATCCGAGAATCTTCTTCATGTCCCTTCATCCCTCTTCATTCATCCAAGGCTCTGCCAGAGTTCATGATGGACAGAAGACCAAAGTTTCGTTCATAAAGAGTGTCGTAGATCGTAGAATGATACAAAGGAAAAGAGATTGTGTCGTTAGACATGCAATTCGCAACCGGTAAACCATCCTCGTCTGGTTTCCCGACAAGTCGATGACCCGTATATGTGTTGCTGTGATATCCCAAAACCGCCATGAGAACCCCCTGAAATTTTTCGTGAGAAGAAAAGAGATGTATGTCCGAGAGACCGGGCCCAAATCCGCCAAAAGTCTCGCCCCACGTAATAAAGCTCTTTGTACAAGTGTAAGAACATTAGAAAGCGAGTATTCCATCGCCCCCCTCCAATTCAAGTGTGTCCAAAAGAAATCAAGCCCGGGGATCGCCCCTTTTTCGCCATGTCCCGCCATGTCCCGCCAAGCCAGCCTTTCGGCAAGGGTTACGCAGTAGACACCAGAAGATCGCTTGCGCCAATATCCAAAACAACACATTAATCGTGAGAAAAGGGTGAAAAATCGCCAAAACATCAAAGCCAGAAGCCAAAAAAAGCAAGAAAAAAGCAATGCTCGCCTGCTAAAATCGACAAAAATCCAAAGAGTAAAGTAGAATAGGAATGATGAACACAAAATAAGAAAAGAGTTTGAGCGTCCCGGGACCAGTGCGGGATCGCGAGAAGTCAAAACAGCTTTGGGTGCGTGAGCAGCAAAGGTCTGAGTGTGTCGCGAGAGCGGAGAAAGTGTATCAAAAGTGAAAAGCCGAAAGGATGGGAAGCCGGAAAAACCCATATAGACCGGTGAAGATAGGAAAACCCAAGGAACGCAATTTTAATCGGGTGCGTCATGACTGTCGTGCTGTCGTTCCGAATGCCGTGTAATTGGTACTCGTCAAAGTGTCGTCAAAGTTTTTTTCTTTTTTTCGTCTCGTCTCGTCTCATTTTATATCTCATCATCATAAAACCGCACCACTTTATGCATCTGCATCATTGGTCGCAGCAACTTGTTGGCTTTCAGCAACCATCTTCGCAAAGTCACGCACAACGTCACGGGGGATCTTGTCCCATAGGAGTGACCGAGTGTAGACCTCGGCGGCAGAGTCCTTGTTGGCGGCAGCACGCATGCTGGCAAGCGCTTCGGCAAGATTGCGTCTGCCCTTGCTCGTGGACCTTTCGGCGGGAGCATTTTGCAGGAAATCTTGCGAGCTGATGCCGTTGTATTGCGCAGCCGTCAACCCGAAAAGCTGCTCGTTGGTCTGTTGCTCCGTCGGCTGGGTCAAGGCGTCAGCCATCTCACCGAGCATCGAAGGTGCCACACCATTCATGCCAGAGGCGGCGACTGGCAACGATGACCCGGTGCTTTGGGCCCAGCTGGAACCTGATGGCTGAGGAGCCATGGCCTCGAGACCGGAAGCGGCCTGAGGCAAGCCAGCATCCTTAAGAACATTGTCGAGGAGTGTAGCGGATGCCACACGGATGTCCTCAGACACCCGCGGAATGCTAGGCGGCGATCGGTTGGAAAGAACGAAAGCGCCGACAAGGAACAGCATGAAAAGGAGTCCGCCCTGCGAAGGAGACTTTTCGCTCTCGGCAGAAAGGGAAATCTCGGACTTCTTGGTGGGAGCGATCTGCATTTCTTGCTTGACCTCGGATGGCTGCTGCTCCATGGTGAACTCGCCAAACATGGGCATGTTATCCCAAGAGCCATCCATGGCCATGCCTTCCATCTCACTATAGGAACCGGGGAAGCCGGACACGTTCGGGCCGGCCGGCGGTGTCGACATTGCGGCGCTTTCGAGGGCTTGCACGTGGTTGGTCAGAACGTTGACCTTCTTGCGCAACTCGCCCGTCTCGATGGTGTGCTCGCGGATGATCTCCTCTTTCTCGTTCTTGAGCTCGCTGATGTACGCCTCGTAGCTCTGCTTCTCGCGGAGAAGCTGGTCCATGTCTCTTTGCAGGGCATTCATCTGCTCCTCCATGTTGGTAATGACCTCAGTGAAGTGCTTCTTCTCATCCTCGAGACGCTCCGTGTGCTGCTTCTTGCGTTGCCTCGAGTCAAGACTGTTCGGTGGGTCAGTATGGGATGGTCCAATCCGCAAGTACTTGGTGAAAAGAGGAAACATACGCGGCCTGCCTGTTGCGCAACAGACGCTTTTGCTGCTTGAGCTCCTTGATCTCTTGCTCGTCGGTGGACTGGGCAATCAGCTGATCGATGTTGCTGAGGTTGCGTTCAGCAGGGATGTCGAAGCGCGCATTCTTCTTGCGGATGCCATCACCCCGGCGCAGCTCGTTGTGAGAGCGGATCAGCGGGGTAGTCGGCCTGTTGCGCTTGGCCATCGCCTGGTTCTTGAGCTCTTGGTTAATCCAATGCTCTTTGGGAGGCGACGCGGGAACGGCCGGGATGCCATGGTGGCCAAGCTGCTGGAACATGACGGCTTGGTTGTTGGGATTGCTGAACGGCGTCTGAGCCTGGACGGTAGCGGGTCTGAACAGAGGAACAGTCGATGACTCGTACTCGGCCTGCGGCAGTCCATCGAAGCTCTGAAGAGGGGTAGCGGCGCCCGAGCTCATCATGCCCCAGTGGTTCTGGTACGTTGATTGCTGGTTCTGGTCCATCTGCATGAAGGGGTTGTTGTTGTGCTGACCGAAGAAGGGGTTGTTGGACGGGACGCTCTGCATCTCGACAGGAGGCCAGGAATCATCCGACTTGGGCGAGAACAAGGCAGTTGCCGAGACAGCAAACGAATCCCTCCTGCTGTCAGTCAAGGGCGGCGACATCTCCAAAGCCGAGTTGAGGGTGCTCTGGTTGAGGATGTCATCGTCTAGGATCTCATCATCGTCGAAGAATTTTTGACCATGGCAGGAAGTATCGACGTTCAACGGCGGTGTCCTGTAGTAGGAGGGCTGCTGGAAGGTTGCTGAGCCCATGGTGGGCTATTTGAATGTGCTCGTGGTAGGGATGAACGAGGTGGTTCTTAACACGCAGCGAATCTTTACTCCTCCTACGCTATTGTTTTATGTGCGAACTTTCTGATATATGGCCGAGTCAGTGTCTGTGGCTGGGACGGCGAAGCGGTGAGGGCAGAAGCATGGAAAGCGCCCGCTTTGTGTGTCTGGGTGGCCAAGGTCTGCAGTGGGAAGCCGGGAAGCAGGGCAAGGTGTACGGGAAGACCCAGGTTCGGATCCGTCTCTGTCAAACACCTGAAGGGCTGTCTGTGCGGGGGGGTGGGTTGTGGTTGGGTTCAGAGGCAGTTGGTATATTGCCTTGGGCAAGATGAAAAGATAAAGAGCAATGAAGAACGAAGGGAGGGGAGCAGACGAGGGGATGATATGATGTTGAAGGATAAGATGGAAGGTGAGATGCGCAAGGTAGGTAGTCGATAGGAAGTCTACCTTTAGGTAGGTAGGCTTGGTAGTGGGGAAGAGAAAGCCGGGGTGGGAAGGCAAAGTGGAAGCCGGAGTCGGGATACACCACTACAGTATCCAGGCCTCAGGGTAGCACAGCCAGGGAGTAGCGAAAGAGGGAAAGTGTGAAGAGCCAAAAAGACACACGGGAGGAAAGGGCGAGGGGGACCGTCGCAAATTTGCAAATGAAGAAAATGAGGGGGGGGGGGGGGGGGGTGCAAAAAGGAACGTGAGGAATTGGAATGGCACTTCACTCACACTTTTTGTTCCCTGTGTAAGTTGCACTGCGCTGCCGTCCGTGGAAAGAGGGGTTATCAGGCTGGTCGGTTGTTGTTGTTGAGGTTGATTGTTTGTTGTTGACGGGATGTGGTTGTTGTCGTTAGGGTAAAGACGAGAGTGGCGCGTTCTTCGGGAGTCACAGACCACCACGAGAAGCGATAAAACAAAAACGAAAGAAGTGAAAGTAAATAGACAAAAAGTCAGGGTCAAGGCAGGCGCAATGCTGCTTTGGGCAAATAACGATCTTTACAGAGTCAATCAATGACTTTGGGATTGAGACGGTGGGCAGAGGGGGTGGTGCCCTTTACTTATTCTATGTTTGATGTTAAGACTGTGGTCAGTGTGGTCGGCCATGGTCAGGCTGGCCGCTGCGACGTGACGGATCTGCCCAATTGAATGAACATGGCAGGGTCTTGGATCGCAAAAGTCTCGTGGTACATCAGGGTGGATGTGTGGTGGAATTGTGGATGGATCTTCGGACTGCGGAGGATGGCGCTGGTTTGCTTCTCTGTTGCTCCATGGGGGTAAACTAAAAAGAGGACATCTTCGCCGAGCAGCGATGAGGGGGTGCGACAACAGGGAAGAGGGGCCGGTTGACGGGACCGGGGTCTTTGAAAGTACTTTGTAGAACACGACGTAGCCTGGAGACGTTGGACGAGCAAGACATCCAGAACACTCACGCTCAAGCAGCAAGGGACTTGGCCGCACCTCCACCCAAAGCCAGCAGCAGGATCGAGTCGGGTGCCTGTGTCTTTCCGTTACCCTCCGTTTCGCCAAGCCCTCTTGAGCAAAGAACTGAACGGATGCTGTGCGGATGCTGTGCGGATGTGGTGGAGAGATTCTGATACGGGAGCTAGGAACTTTTGCGCGATCTGGATTAAGAGGCGGATATGGAGCTCCTCGCTGAAAGCTATTCCCAATCGGGACAGTCCATCCCCCGAACCGTAAAGCCTGCCTCGCTAGGGGGGTCGGATTTGGGCATAGCGTACAGGGCTTGGGAGCGTGAGGGCAGAAGGGTAACTGTATCACCCATCACTCAGCAAATCGAATCAGGCTCGTCATCGAAAGGTCTTGGGACGACTCTGAGCCGCTCAACTAGCCCAACGGCTGGAACGAGAAGGATCGGGAGACGGTCAGGGGGTGTAGAATCGGCAAGAAACCGAGATGGCTCGTTTGTGAGGACGTCAGCCACTGCAAAAACGAGTGATACGGGTGCTTCCCGGACGGAGAACGGCCCCATCAAAACAGGGAACACAAGTGGATGAGAAGGCTCCCTCGAGAGTGGGTTGGGCAGAAATGGCCGGGTGGGCATCGATACCCAAAACGCGGCTCAAAGACCAGTGACCTGCCAGTCCCCATGCCACCCCCAACTTTTGCCGTACACCATCAACAACAGCACCAAATTCTAGGGCTGGGAATATTCGAAAGGGCCCAAGTGCCGGCCGGCAGAGACCTGTCAGAAGGCTGTCAAGAGTGCTTTTCAGCTGAAGTCCTCATCGTCACTCGAATGACCGCACCGCCCAAAGCAGCCACTTCTCAGTTGTGCATCTCAGCCTCCAAGCCTCTTTGTGATGTCTTCTCCAACTCAAGGTAAGCGTGTGGGGTGGCGAGCATGGGAACCGAGGGAGTCTGGAGACTGCAAGGGAAGTGCCCAGCTTGGTACAAGGTATGATACCTAGCGGAGCTGAGAAAGTCGCTTTTCCTTTTGCTCATCGAAACCGAGCTGTCCAAGGCCGAACGCCTATCCAGACCGGGCCCGGCAGAAAGGAAGATGTTTGTTTCTTCGACTCCCTCCTTGGGTTGGTCATGACAAGGTCTTGAACCCCGAGACTAGCTGTTGAGAAGGAGCCGCAATCGCGGTGTTATATCAACATGTCCAGACTCTGTGGTAAACCCGGCAAAACGCCTCTGTATAAACAAACGCATGTGGGCATTCGACCAGTCGTCTGTACGAACATGTGCCATGATGCTCCTTGCTTCAAGACGATTCCAAGTTCTGCCCCTGGCATATATGCAAGAAATACGGCGTAGCAACCAACTTGGCAGCCCGGCCATCCACCTGGTGCGAAAAGGCCCGGGTCCGTTTTGATGCGAACGGGTTCTCGTCATCCAAAGTTATCGCTGTCATGCCCGGCAGCACCAGGACCGGCAGCAGCAACGGTGGTGGGCATGGCATCCGCTACTGTCGCAGTATCACGGCAGTGTTTGTTGCGTTCGTCGGTCGAGTCTGCGAATCCCCATCAACAGAGCCCAGGGGGACGACACTGATAGGCCAGCGAATCCGGGTACTGAGACCTTCAGAACGGAGACAGATGCACGAGGTCCTGCGGGAGGGTCATGATCACCTCACTTGCCCATTCGGACCAGTGGTATGATTTTGCTGAAACATGGGGAATGAGAAGGCTGGTTTTAGGTTGGGAGATGGTATCAGAAGGATATTGCTCAAGGCCGCATAGGTATCGTCCAGGCTGGGAAGTAAACTTTTTCGAATGCCGTGAAGTTGTCAATGTGTCCTGGCAAGGAATATCGCCTTATATTCGGATGAAAAGAGATCATACTGTTTGCGTGCTTGTTGGGCTTGGTGGTCTATCGGAGGACGCAAAGCCGTAGTGCGAGCAGCAACAACACCGCGACAATCATCAGTGCCCACAGTGCAGCAGCATCCGGCGTCGAGAGACTTATTCGATTCACGGAGTGGATTGATCGGGACTGGACGATGTCGGTTTGTCGACTGCTGGCTTTCGGACATATCAAGAGACTCGGATGGTGTTGAGTTTCCATCACCATTCTTGAGACGATTGTCATTCCTCGGTTGAACTGACCAAGTGCGCTTGCAAGGGTCGTCGTTGATGCCTCTACGTACAGTTGGCGGTACGTTGAAATATCCCCAAGCTCCGCATTTGTCCCGCGCCAGTCGGGTGTCAGTCGAAATGCCGGACCAAGAGCAGTTTTTCGTTATATAAGTCACATGACTCAATACGTACTCCTGCTTCCCTTTCATTTCCACTGCTGGGCGCGGCAGGCAGCGAAACTCCTTTCACGTTTCCTCCTCGTCCGCTGCAATTTCCCTATCACAACAACAGCAACATGAACAAACGGCGACAACAACAACAACAACAACAACAAAAATACGACCGCGACAATGGCCACTTACACATGTCAACATCACCCCGCTATTGCATCAAAACATTCGACATGATGGTGATTTTCCATTCGTCCAATATTCCACACTTCCACCCTGTTTTCCTGCCGATTTGTTCCTAGATCGTCTCAGGGGCCCAGAATGCCGACTTCGTCCAACCCCAATCCGTGGAGACGTGCGGTCCCATCTGCGGTTCCTTTCGGGGATCAGTTTGCCCGCGAGCAATTCCCAGCAGCGAGTGATTGAGCATCGAGAAATCAGAAAATGCGGTGGCTGGGACCTACAGCATGCTACAGCACCGTGACCCACTAGCCGGACCATCTGCAAAACTCCAACGGAGCTCCCGCATCAGCGCCGCTTCTGTCGACCACTCATCGGCGCCGCTCGACTGCCTGCCGACTTGCCCAGATGGATTGTGCCTCTGGCCGCATACAAAGAGGCCCGCATCAAAGCCTGGCCGTGCTGGTATCTGTACCCAACCCGACCAACCGGCGACGCGATTGCTGGGAACTGGCACCGAATTGGCACCTTTGTTGCTGTCCCGACACGCGAGATATGTATGTAGACCACAGGAACCATTAGGATCCATTGAAACGCGTCCCTCTCGGCTCGCATCTGCTAGCTCTCCGCATGCCGCGCCGCGAACGATCACCGTCCGAGGGAGGCGACCTTTTGGATGGCTTTTCTGCGCATTGCTGTGTCTGGGCAACAACTCTGGGGTCACTGGCGTCCGTGACTGGTGCCGGTGCTGTCACTGTCTGAACCCTACAGACGTACGACAGTAGTACATAGACAGCAAAGGTGAGCCCCACCAAATCCTGCCGTCTGTTATGCAGCCTGAGTGCTTGCAGATAGCGACAGAATCGAAAGCGTGCGACTTTGCTCCAGTTTTCAGAATGGCATCCAATCGAGCCGGCGACAATTCACCTCACCTTTACATAACCTTTGAAATGTCTGTCAAATATTCGAGGACTAACAAGCTGCCAGATACTCTAGCTACTATGATCAGTCATGTTGCAATGACCTTTCTTTCCCCGCCCGTTTTCAAAAGACAGAGAGAAGCCCCTCTTTTTCACACTTTTTACCAGCGCAAATTCATGCCCGGTTGCAACTATCATCGCTTGGGTTGCCTATTATCGGTTACCCCGCTGTTACCTGTCCACATGATGGGCATCGGGCGCTTTCCAAAGTCCCATCAACACTGACTTGATCAACCGTCTTGATACGGCCGTTTGCTGGTCTTGCCACAAAGGGTTGAGTTTCAGCACAAGCCGTATTTCGACTACGGACGGCAAGGTTTCCGGATGGTGGACGTTCAGGTCCTCCGCCTCTCAGCAAGCGAGGACTGAAGAATCATGGGAGGATCAACACAAGCCAATCGATATTGTAAGGCGGTGGTACCGGCCCTCTCACGATTGGGCTACGCGTCTTTGTCAGCCATCTCTGTCCGCCTTTGTTCCGAAGTTCTGGATTACGCTTCGTCCTTCCCGAGTAGCGCTACCTAGAAGCGTCTCCGGCTGCGCCTGGTGGTGAAAGTTCGTTCTGGAGCTGTTAGTATTGGTGAATGTGGAAGATCAGTGGTCCCGCTACTATCAGCCTCTACCATTCGGAATTCGCCGCGAGAAACCCTAAAAGAACACCATCTAGTTTTCAAGCTATGAGAAAGACGCTTTATTTCTTTCTTTTTAGCTATCGAGAGAGCCCCGCCGTGCAGTCTCCTGGTCAGTGGCTAGAGGCTCAACATCGCGCAACACTAGGGTCCTACATGCGACCTTTTTCAGTTTATTTCGACCTGGATATCGATCTGGATGGTGGCGGCCGTATCAGACCCAGAACGGCAAATATCCCACCCAACGGCACAGACCTCCTCTTGCGAGTTTATGTCCGTCATTATCCAGTATATCCGCACGCTCTTGACGACCCTAGTGACGTTTCGACTGCTGGATGCTTGTTGTTAATGTGCATCAGTCTCTCAGCTTCTCGGGCGGCTGTCTCGCCTATTCCTCTAAACGTCCAGGCCACCTACCGAGGTCGGCCTCCAAGGGCTTCGGGATCCTATTGTTTGCGATCAAGTGGCAGCCATCTCGACGATGTGCAGGGTGCCATCACTTCACCACCCCGCTCTCTTTTTACTCCTTGGGGTTGCGTCGTTGTGTTTCTGTAGCAATCACGCACACGATGACTTACAGGCCCTATTTTTCCTGCATCTTATGAATCTGAAACATATCTTTCCCCCCCAGCTCCACGCTCAGTCAGCGATCCCGTCAAACAACAGGGTTCAGCTGGGGACCGAGAATATTATAATTCTTTCGGCGAGATGTTTCCCCAAACGGTTTGCGGGAACCGTTTGATCTCGGTTCATAGGAGTTGTTTTAACGAAACCCCACATGCTTACCGAGTCTCACTGATGGATATCCGCCGCCAATGCTTGCGCAAGCCTTCTGCAGTCAAACCCAAGGATACAATCACTGGCTCATCCCAGGAAATCCTCGAGATGGTTCTGAACAGGCACTCTGAACAGTCAGTTACGAGTATCTTTACCGCCGAGCTGCTAGGCTCTGGGATAAAGGACGCGATGTTCGTGATTGTGTGTGGTTCAGGCGTGCAGCACCTTCACCTTGATCGAATCCCGGAACTCTGGATCAATCTATTTTGATACTGGCCCGCTAGCCAGAGCTGCATCTCGTCTGATCTAGTCTGGCATCTGGTGCGTTGCGCTTGCGTGAACGGCCAGTGACGGCAAGCCCTAGGTACGGAATTTCTACGCAGAGCCAGGATTTCTCGAACCCGCTCGGTCATAAAATTCTCATCAGCGGAGCAAAAGAGGGGTGGTCTTTTTTTTTTCTTATTATTTTTGCTGTTGGTGCTCGCGTTTGAGCTATCGGCTAGCGGCAGCGTCCAAGACCAACTGTGTGCAACAAGCAGGCAAGAGGATGCAGCGAGCAGAGCATGGGCGTAGGACCACTACTGCAACTAAAAAGTGGTGTAAAAACTGCTGTGTTGCCGGGACCGTTGCAGATGTGGGGCATCTTCGAGCTCTCGGTGGGCTCATTGTCAGGTGAGTGGTGAGACGACATGGAAGAGCCATTTTCGGAGCCTGTTCGGGGTTGAGGAGGAGAAGAGGAAGAGAAACGGAATAAGATGTCATGCCGCGATAAGATTTTGACGAGCCGTCAACAGTACGGAATTGGTTCCTCCCCGGCGCGGCTCGGGTCCGGTTTACGTTAACGATCCTCTGTCGAGGCGCTTGGAAGGTATGTGGAACTGTTTCATGGCGCATTTCCAAGGCTCTACTATTCGTACGATCGTACTTTCATTGTCAGTCCCGACATCTGTCGCGCAAACCTTGGGGTCATGAGGGGGACGGGAGGTTTGTTTTGATGGGTGGGTCGGTCCGGATCGGCTTATGGATTCAAGCGGTGAGCGGAGACGGTCTGGGATCAAAACGGAATCCGGACGGTGACTACTGCGGGAGACACACCCACTCCCGGAGACATATACCAGATAGGCAAACCTTCATCTGCTTGTCCTGGCTGTATCATGTACTGCTACGCAGCATGTGAGATGGGAAAATCTCCCAAAATCTCGCATCTGCTTTGCATTTGTTGAGCAAAAATTCCGGAAAGAGGCTGAGCACAAAAAGGAGGATATTCTGGAGATGTGGAGATATCAGAAAGCCAGTGCCATCTCCGTATCGACTTTTATTTTGCGGCTCCAGATGGGGTACGTGGGGTTGTCTTCTCGGACACCGTCGATCTGCTGCTCTTCCCTTGGACGAATTCGCAGATTTCCGGAGACCCCCTCTCTTCGTACGGGACGGAAGAACCGGGGGTGGGGGAGACATGTACCGAGCGTCATTCTCCGATTCTTGTACCGGCTCCCATCGTACTCCGGTATACAACAAAATCATGGTTCGCTGTGCCGTCGTTCTCATAACAGTAACCCAGCATTTTGGAGAATAAGTAAAGATCAAGTTTCCGCGAAACCAAGGAAAAACTCCGATACTTTTCAAGCATTACCTTGCTTCGATGATTTCGGGACCTGCATACGAGATGACCCTCCTACTCATGGCTCCATTCACGAGGCTATCACTGCTGTGTATCGTGACTGAAGGAGACCGCGAACTCGAACGTCGCCAGGTTGGTAAGTTAAGCCCGCGGAGTTCTGACGATTATCCTGCAAGCACGTGAGCCTCGCTTGGATGGCTCCCTTGTATTAGAAGTCAAGTCAACATGAACAAACAAACATCACTTGAACGACCCCGCGTTGCATACCCATGAACCATGAAGCTTTTTAGCTTGTTCTCGACTCTAGACTCAAAAGAGAACAAGCCGACTCCAAGATCCCTACCTGCCTGTCCTGCCTGGTGAGCCTAGCTCCCTGGTCGTGTGCGGCGTCTATCTCCCACGCAAGTGCGCGCCTACGAAGAGATAGGGACAGGAAAGAATGGTACCGAATGAAGTGACGAGGATCCGAATCCTTGTCCTGCTTCTTTTCTCCTCTTGTATATGTAGCTTTTTCTTTTTCCCTTGCTTTTTTGCCCCGCCCCTTTTCGAAGAGGGGCTGGTAACGGACGTCGAGCAAACGAACGGTCGACTTCTTGCCTGGTCATCGGTTCTCGTTGCGTCGTCCGTTCAGGTGAACCGGGGCCCTACTGGGCTCCCTAGACCTGGTTGACGATCTTACAATGTGACAAGGTCAGTCACCCAGGTCAGCTTGTCTGGAAGTCTGCAACCGGAAGCCGTTTAAGCAAAGTGAAGCTAAGGTGGGCTTGGTGGGCTCTGCCGAGTTGGGATTTCCGGGGCACTGGCCAGGGTGCACCGCTTCGGTCGCACGATCTACGGAAGCGATAAAACAACGAGGTGAAACGAAACGGGCCCCAACCGGTGCCCGGCGGCGGCGGCGGCGGCAACGGCGGCCAGTCACCACTCACCAGCGGGCGGCGGGATGACATGGGCATAAACCAGAGAAAGATTATCAATGGTGACGACAAAGCAATTTATGTCCATGTCAGGGTTACCATCATTGTAATAGTTTCCGTGCTTACACACGTCCATATCCCACATCCCAGCATCCCATTCACCACCAAACTATTCGATGACCAAGAGTCAAGAGTCTTATGTGAAGCTCAAATAGGCCTCAAAAGATAACGGCAGATGATCTCTCTTGAAAGGCGGTGTGTTTTAGCTGGCTTCTGTCTCTGCACCCTCTGGATCTGGGAAGTCCTGAGAGTCTGGGAACCACTCACTTGGGACAGGTCTGGTGATCTGATTTGTTACTACTGTCAAGTGGTGAGAGCTGTGTTTCTTTTTATGGTGGGTGGTATGCATTAGCTATCCTTTAGGACTGTTATTTTGTCTCTCATGTTTCTGTCTCGCTCGTTGATGGGCTTGTTGAAGTCGCCGACAGGTTCGAACAGGTCGGTTAAGGTTGCTATTTCCAACAGCTCCTTCAAACAATAAAGAAAGAAAAAGAAAAGGAAAAGCAATGCGCGGTAGAGCTTGCCATGGGGCAATACCAGTCACATGTCATTCTTCTTGATTGACTTTCATGTTTTGATGATCTGAAGTAGTTGTAAGATTACCTACTCAACTGATAACCCTGCCGGACTGATTCACAGAAACATTATCCTCACCCTCCCTACCTAGGCTGGGTAAGGTGAGCGAAGCAAGTATATGTGTAAAGAGGATGGAATCAAGCAAGTCTTTGATGCCGATGAAACAGAATATGGAACAAGAACTAATGCACTCTCTGAAGTTTCCTTCGTATTAGAACAGATCGGCATCTACAACAGAATATCTTTAATTCTGCACTAGAGTGAGCGACAAGACTTTGGAAATTTTTGCTTATAGGGACCTTGTAGGCCTGAAAAGCTTTCGGGCCTACTGCTAGTGTACCAATGCCGCGAATAAATCAACAAGCTGTAGGAGCGAGTTTAACCCTCTGTATTAGCTAAAAGGTCAAACAGGGCCAAGATAGATCAGCAAGAACACCGACGTCGGTCAGCAACAAATACTTGGTATGTCGGTAAACTCGTTTGATTCAGTTTCAGGTCGGTCCGGCAAGGCAGGTTTCAAGGTTTGCTAGTTCCGTTTGGGTGTATGTACATGTCTAATACAGTATATGGCAGAGCTATAACCCTGCAACATTGCCGGACCGACTGGGGACATCGAGGTAGACTAGTTTGTTCGGTATTTAGCGTACCAAGCAAAAAGACAGAGATATATACGTAATATTCGTAGTAACTTGCCGCTCTTGTACACCATGCTCAATCTTCTTTCCAGGGACTATGATGTTGCGAATTGAAGATCAAAGACTCTAACTTACACTAGCAGATCGGTCAGCGTCATAACCTCTTCTTCTGTAGATCAGAACCCTGACCGAAAGTCTGACGAGCTAAGGTGGAATTGAACTAGGGATACTGAATATCGATGAACGGATGTAATGATGAGGCGAGCTAAGTCGGGTTTTCAAGAAAGTAGCCACATGAGGAGACGGGAAGAAGGGAAACCGTGGGGTAGGGTCTGAGGTCTGTATGTACCAAAAGAATGAACACAAAAAGATAGATTAAAAAATTTTGAATTTCTTTGTTTGAAGATGCTCGTCTTGACGTGTTAGACAAGTTTCTCTTTCCTTTCCTTGGAAGAATGCCGAACTCAATGTGCACGAGGTGGTCATCAATGCGCTAAGGGTCTTCAACAAGAGTCAGAAGAGACAGGATAAGTGCTCTGGTGACTGCTTGCCGAAACCGGAAGGAACGATGTTGAAGTCCGGAGTCAGATAACCTACCTATCCTTTTAGCCGTTATCTCAGGCGTCTAGGGCCTCTAGGACTGCCTCATGTCTTGTATCTCGTGTGCCTCGTGTATCAGTCTGCCCAGGTAAACATGGAGCCACCGAAGCCAAGAACGCACAAAGAACTAAGGAGTGCGGGGAGGCGTGCGGCAGTACATATATACGGGGCATGAATAGGTAGTCAAACAGTATAGTATAGTACAGTCTCATATTTAGGTCTACTGCCGATGTCCTCACCCAAGCGACCAACCTAGGAAAAGCTGATCGGCGGACATAAGGTTCGGACACGAACAAGCTTCGCCAGCTTCACCAGAGTAAGCGCCGGAACCTTTTTAGGGCGAAGATATAGATCTTAGTGACCTACTGACTCGGGCATCTGGTAGTTTTAGATGGTCGCGATGTTTGCTACTGTAGAGGTACTTATATCTTAGCCAAGCGACCCTGAATGGGATCACTTGTGAGCCAGTCAAGCCAGTCCCTCTCACTCTCGCATTTATAGACTACTTTCAGAAGATTTGCCACCAGACACTTCCTTGATCAGCGTTGCATACACTGGTAGTCTTTCGGATCTCAATATAAAGTAGGGAAAGGGGGCGTGGGGATTTGGACGGGGGTCTGGAATTAGGTTGAACATATCTACACATTCTATTCTGTGACCCTGCCACTGCCTCTGACTGATACACAGATAAACACAGAGACACAGACACAAAAGAAGGTTCACACAGAGAAGCGAATGGGTGGACGGTCTTCCAGAGTTCGCTTCACTCTTAGACTTGCACCTCACAAGTCACCACCAAACCAGCCGGTCGGCCCTTTGGTCAGTCGCTATTGGAGGGTACTACTTCTTCATTTCATCTGATTCTAGACTCTAACCTCTACTAGTCCCTTGTGATCCAAAACCATTATCCGATATGGGTATAAGCACGACCCGAAGCGGGAGAGGAATCCCCGGAGGTTGCTTCCCCCCCCCCAACAATAATAAAGTAAACTAGTCAGCAGCCCCTGACCCCCTCCGTATTTTGGAAAGTATGGGGTGGTTCACCCCCGTGAGCACACAAACGAGACAGACCATGCTACCCTCTACTATTCTGTCCTCATCTGCGCCCTGCCTGGCCTGGTGTTGTGGTCGAGTATGACGGTGACCATGTATGACGTCCCACAGAAACACCACAGAACAGAGAGTTCCCGCCGAGCAACCGGCCGCCGGTACCACGAAAGGGGGAAGGAATGTGGAGAGAGAGAAGAATTTGAATGGTTGAAAGTGCGGTTTGGGGGCTGGAGGAGAGAAAGTCCCCGGGGTTCACGGTTATGGATAGCAGGCAATCAACGTAACCAACAAGCATTTCTCGACGATCACCGCGACTTGTTTTTCTTTTTTTTATTCGGCCCTCTTTTCTCCGTAACCAGCTCGATCGCGGTCTCGTGGCTCTGGTCAACAGGTCTGGGGCAGACCCTGGCATGTCTCGGATGAGAACAATTGAACCTTGTTCGCGTCCTGGCAGAGGGCCACTGGCTTCCGAAACAATGTATCTACCACGTGTTGAGTATGACGGTGGGAGGTAGAGGTTGTCGCTAAACATGTGGAATGCTCAACCGAGCGGACGGTCCGGGCTGCGACTGGGTATGGGAGTCGTACACTATGAGTACGGCATCTGAATGATGGTTTACGATGAACCAAAATCCCATAGACTGACCAACGGGCTATCAGTCTGCTCTGTGCCAGGATCGGCCTTGGTGAAAATGTGTTTCGGGATCATGAACTCGATGACCGGAGCCTTCTTCACTTCCTTAGACATCTCTGCGTCGATAAGCTGTGGGTGTATGTTAGCCATATGCTTCTATATGCATTTGATTGTAGTTGACTTACACTGCCATAGGAGTGGTCCAGAAAATCCTCCAGGTTGTAAGACTGTTTTGTAAACTGCTCAGAGATGATCTTGGCGATGGTCGCAACGTTGGGGTGGTAATGAGACTGCAACTGCACAATCTCCCACAGAGAACTGTCAATGGCGTGGGTCTCCATAGGGTCCTCTTCGTCAGGAAGGAAAGGGTCAATGACTCCCTCCTTCTCGATCAGCTCCTTCTCCTCCTTGGTCCGCGGCACACGATGCATCATGAATGTAGTGAGAGGATGCTTCTTGAACAGGTTGTAGAACCACGGAACGATGACAACAATGGCGCTTGGTGGTGCGTTGAGGGCGAGACGGGCCAGACGCTTGATGAAGCTTGCCACCAGGACGGCGGGCAAATGGGACGAGCCCAGGAACGTATCGAGGAGGCGGAAAAAGCGTGAGCGGTACTTGGAATGGAGGATGTCGGTATCCAGCAAGGAGTAGAGTTTCTGATAGAAAGATGGGTAGTCCAGGTTGCGTTCCTGGATCAGGTAGAACACACCGGAAAGGGCCAGGAGCGAGATAGAGCCGCCAGTGTTGTAGCAGTCGGTAAGGAAGTCCATGAGGAGCTCGGGCTTGATGAACCATGGCGCAATTGAGGATGCCATGACGTCCAACACCTTCTTTCTCTGCTCCTTACTCAGACCCAGGTGCATCAAAGCCAGCCAAGCTTCCTGTGCCCTCTTCTTATGCTGCGACAAGGACCGCAGTGGGTGCTTCTTCTTGACGGGTTGCTCGATATAGAAGTCCTCAAGGTCTTCGGATGACTCTGGGATATCCTCCATCTTGAGAAGGAAGTTAAACACTGTGCTTTGTAGCTCTTCATCGACCGACTCGCGTTCTGTAAGGAAGTCCCTACACAAGCATGTTAGCAACTTGCTACACTGGGCAACTCGGGTCCTGTTGGGTTCACGTACTTGATTCCCTCAAACGTGTAAAATCTAATGTCGTCATACTCGTCGATGAACTTGTCACAAAATTCAACACGCACCTCCTCGACTGGCGACGTTAGAAGCGCACTGATGATGGCATTGAAGAGAGGCCAAGGAAAGACGGCCTCGTCCTTGCCCTCCAGGTACTGGGCTTCCGCCTTCAGCAAAGCCATAGCCAGAACGAGAGCCTGGGTGGCAAGCTTGGTGCTCTTGAACATGGCGACAAGAGCCTTATGGTAGTCGGTCAGGCGATCCCGGAGCCACTTTGCGACGGTCGCATCTTTCTCCGAAGCATCCTTCTTCTTGACCAAACTGCCCGAGGCGAGTAGGCGAACGAACACACGGCACAGAGCTTCGGCGGCGGCGATGGCGGTCTTGGGGTCTTCGTTCTGCTTTTCGGCGTACTCTATAAGGGTAGCGATGTTGTTGTAGTGCTTCCTGGACTCGTTGACCTGGGATTCGAGATTCTGGATTTGCGATGCGAGGTCTTCCTTTTCCTCGCCGGCCTCGGACTTTCTGCGCTTCTTGATGGGTTCGCCGTTCTCGGAGCGTTTCCGCTTGACAACCGGCTTCGCGGCTTGGTCTTTTACTTTTGAAGGCATTGTGGCGACAGTGTGTGGGTGTTTGGACAAGGAAACGAGGGAGTGGACGATTCGAAGAACGGAATGGTCGTCGTATCTCAGCAAAATTTAAGTGGGGCGTCTCCAAGTCAAAGTCCTTCTTTGGCGTCGCGAACTGGAGGTGACATTGGAGACTTTCTTGGCGCCAAAGTGGGGCCTCTTTTTTTGCTCTTGGACTGGCATGAAACTTTTCCAGCGCCTTTGCTGAAGCTCTCAGGCCCAAGATCCACGTGACATCCAGGTACCTCCGGTAAAGTGCCGGGTCAACCCGTTCCGTTAAAACCTCAATTCGACCTTGAAAGCTCAGCAACGTCACTAACAGCCACCCCACGCCCATCCCCTCATTCACAATGGCGTCGCGTCTGGCCAGAACTGCTGTCGGTGAGTAGATTGAGCTCTCGGACGGGCACGTCGGGCGCAAAGACAACACAGAGACCGTCGCTGACCCGGGCGCATCCTTAGGGGCTGCCCGCCTCCGGCCCAGCGTCGTCCCCCGCGTCCTTCCCGCGCTGAGCACCGTTGCCAGCCCCCGCTACTCGTCCGGTGTCCCCTCCGAGGACCCCAAGACCAAGGCCCAGTCCATCATCGACTCCCTTCCCGGCAGCAACCTCATGTCCAAGACCGCCATCCTCTCCTCCGCCGCCGGTCTTTCCATCTACGCCCTCTCCAACGAGTACTATGTCGTGAACGAGGAGACCGTCGTCGCCTTCTGTTTGCTCTCCGTCTGGGGTGGTCTCATCAAGTTCGGTGGTCCCCTCTACAAGAAGTGGGCTGATGAGCAGAGCGACAAGATCAAGAACATCTTGAACTCTGCCCGCGCCGACCACACTCAGGCCGTCAAGACCCGCATCGGCGACGTTAAGCAGATGTCTGGTGTTATCGACATTACCAAGACCCTCTTCGCCGTTTCCAAGGTAGGCGCTACCAGGATGGGGATTGGGATACATGGGATGCAGATGGTGCAGCAGGTGGAAGGATGACACGATTGGGAAGAATGATGTTGAGGAAACAAGGGGAAAGACAGAGGCTGACATGGCTTCTAGGAAACCGCCAAGCTTGAGGCTGAGGCCTATGAGCTCGAGCAGCGCACCGCTCTCGCCGCTGAGGCCAAGACTGTCCTCGACTCCTGGGTCCGCTACGAGTCGCAGGTCAAGCAGCGCCAGCAGAAGGAGCTCGCCCAAACCGTTATCGCCAAGGTTCAGAAGGAGCTCGAGAACCCCAAGGTCCTCAAGCAGATCCTCGAGCAGTCCGTTGCTGACGTTGAGAGTATGTTTTCTTGCCATCTCCGAACATGTGAAATTGGTTGAATACATGCTGACATGACTATACAGAGATCGTCTCCAAGGCTTAAATAAACTATTTTCGTCCGACTTGCAAGCGAGGCCCCCTTTGTATCAGTGTCCGTCAAGACCGTGTGAAATAGGCAATTCAACTTTTTCGTCTCTATCGGCCTTATTCGACCTTAACGCCTTTATGCTATTTTCGATGGCCTCCCGAGCGGCCTTCAGATATTCTTACAGACTTCCTGTTTCCGGGCCGTGGGGCCTCATGTTGCGTGAAGTTTTGGCTCTGGAAGCTGGGAGTTATGGCGGTCATTAAACCGAGCAAGCCGGGACTTGAAGGAATGGTGGTATATTGCCCGAGTCTCGGATATGTAAAAATGCCGGATCCACCATCAATGCTTCTGCTCAATCCAGGTTCTGTCCAAAGTGTGTCACAGGCGGTTCCAGCTCGGATTTCTAAACCAGTCGCCCTTGAGGAATGACCCGGTCTTGCTGTCAACTTATGTGGAAGGGGTAACAGTTGAAAATGAGGTGGGTTGTGTAAGTCATTTCGTACAAGTTTGTACCTCCGTTACCCTAGACATATCTTGAGGTACAAGTGATAGGTGAACAGTTCGACGCGATAAAACTCTGGTATATATCGGCTGGTTGGAGTATCGCAATTATAACGGCGCGTCGCTTGTCTTTATCTTTCTTCGCGCTGGAGAGAAGCGTTGTAAGCTTCCGCAGATCAGCTCACACAAGAACGCGGGACATCCTCTAATTATTGAGTTCTTATATATATTTACCATGGCTAAGTTGGAGCCGGAGGCACTACGTACTGGGTTGTTGGGATGAAAATTACCTTGTTAGATCGACAAAAGCCATGTATCTCCCGAGGATGAGGGGTTCGAAGCTATCTGGTGGTGGTATGACGAAAGCAATTGGTGAGCTTGGATTGTAGCAGCTGACTGTGTTTTGGAAGGTTCACCTGGCAAAGATCTGTTAGGCAAATGGCAGCTTAGCATTATGATTGACGAGTACAGTAAAGGGGAAGTACCAGTGCCTAACAGATAAAGATATCTCGACACCCCCAAATTGACACCTTGAGGCTCTAACGGAACGTTCAAGCTTCCAAGCTCCTAAGGTGTGGGTGTGGGGTGCATGTCCCAAGCTCGGCAACTAGCTTAGGTTCCATGTCTGGACCCCGGGGGGCGACTCCCGCCCTACCGCCGTCGCTTGTGAATGGGTGGAACCAACCAGGCTTGTTTCATCGTCATTTGATGGAGCCGCTCTCTTTTCATGGATGTCCCAGGACCCCACGATAAGGGCGAAGGGGGTACTTCAAGTTTATTTTTCTTTCAAGACTTATTTTAATCATTTCTTCAAGTCATCGTAGACCCCGTCGCCCCGTGTCTCACACATCGTGCTAGACGCTCCTTGGGCGTCGGTTTATGCAGGCCACGTATTATAAACACCCACTTTGCCTTGGCGCAACCAGCTTTATTTACTTCATCGTCGCAAACAAGTCATCACTGATCTCACCCGGTGCACATTACTAAGACGACTTGCCCTCGGATGAGAGGTTCGTCTGATCAAGCATCACCTGACTCGGCCAACTCTGCCAAACTTCATTTTGAGAGGAAGAGAAGAAGGGCAAAATCAACATTCATCTGAGATACTAGTTTCGGTCATCGGTCCGTATTTAGTGTTGGTCAGCAAGGGCATGGTGATGGGGGATCAGTCAGGCCGTCGACACCAGAGCGCGCTTCGTATTCAAGAACCCAATCTGGCAGAAAGAAGACCCCTTCTACCCCGACGGATAACAACAACAACAACCGGTACACAAAATGGCAACCAGCATCACTCGCTCGACGGTCAAGTATACGCGTGTGGGGACGACCACTCACAACTACCAGTTTACACCAACATCCATCGGATCCGTCGGGATATCATATCGGTGGTGGAGGACTATCTGAGCCTGGATCAACTCCGCGATATCCGCATCAACATATCCGTTGTTCGCCCGCTGGTGGACAAGTTCTATGCGCAGGACGATATTTCAATAGTCTACTGCTTGCTGGTCAACCGCGCGCAGTTCCTGAACGAGCAGTCGCATCTCAACAACAGGCAAAATGTCAACTACACACGCGCCATGCTGTGTGAGTTAATAGCCACACGCATTCTCAGGCGATGCAGCGAGGACAACGAGGGTCCAGAGGGTCTTTTGGTGCTGGCCCATATCCTTATTGCTGGCTTTGAGCCGTTCCAAAATGCTCCGCCAGAGATTCGACGGGAGGTCCATGCGCAGACAGCATGGCATAAGACGCTACCAGCCTTGGAGGTAGCCATCCTGAGTGAGGCCAAGATCTTTTTGAGCTCGACATCATGCCAGAAGATGTGAGTCGTCAGACGAAGCTTTGAACTCAGTGGGCATGGGGGCTGACACAAGAACAGTGTGGACGCCATCTACGAGGGACGGGTTATCTACAGCCCTTCCAGCTTTCTGGACCTTATCCCCGACCGTTACAAGCAGAAGCCAATATCCCTGTATGACCCCAGAAAGGCGCCTCTACTGAACCAGTACCGTCTGGTTGTACCGCGGACGCGAAATATCTTGGAAATCATCCAGTTCGTCATCCTCCTGGCGCTCTATCTTGTATTCATGTCCGAGAGATACGCAGGCCGTGTAACGATACTGGAAACATGCTTCACCGTCTACGCCTTCGGTTGGGTGCTCGATCAATTTGCAACTATTCTCGAGCATGGCTGGTATGTTCAAACTTCACCAATCCTCCGAGACGTCTCATTAACTCGTCCACAGGCACGTGTACACTCAAAATTTGTGGTCGTTCCTTGATGTTACATTTGTTTGCATCTATTGGATTTATCTTGTTCTGCGCGTATACGGGTTGCGATCTCATAACGAGGAACTAGGACAACAAGCACTTGACGTGCTGGCCATGGGCGCACCAGTGCTTGTTCCTCGCTTAGCGTTTAATTTACTGTCCGACAACATCCTCTTCTTGTCGCTTCGGTCCATGATGGCCGATTTTTCTTTACTGACCGTACTTGGTGGCTGGTAAGCTCTTCTGGTTGTCTTGGTCTGGTCCTTTGTCACTGACATCTTCCATAGGTGCTTCTTTGGCTTCCTGTTGTCCCTTGTCTGGCTAGGAAACCACCAGTACTCCTGGGTGTGAGTCCCACTTCCCGCCACCGTTCTTGACATGTACTAAGCTTCTCGTAGAACCATCAGTGAATGGATGATTTACATTTGGTTCGGTCTGGATGGATCTGGCATCCATCATTCGGTATGTCTCGATTTCGATACCTCCATGGCCTGGGCGTATACTAACACATACTCTAGACCGACTTCCACAGATACCTGGGACCCGCCCTGATGGTCATGTTTGCCTTCCTCGGCAACACATTATTCCTCACCGTTCTGGTTTCTATGCTCTCAAATACCTTCAGCACGATTGTCAGCAACGCAACCGCAGAAATCCAGTTCCGACATGCCGTCCTGACTCTCGAGGGCGTCAAGGGCGACGCCATCTTCGCCTACCAACCCCCCTTCAACATCCTCGCTGTCTTCATTCTCATCCCCCTTAAATGGTTCGTCACCCCGCGCTGGTTCCACAAAATCCACGTCGCCAGCGTGCGTCTGCTCAACCTCCCCCTCCTGCTCGTCATCGCCCTGGTAGAACGCCGAATCCTTCCCCCAATCACATCAACAGCAGGAGGAGAACGACCAGCGGAAGGGCCATCAGTCAACTCCCCCTCCTCGCACCCTCGACGCAGCATATGCAAAGGTATGCGCTTCTGGAACAGGTGGCGCATTACCGTCCATAGTGACATCGAGACCGTCTTCGAAGTCCCGCCGCCAGATTCGGTACTCGAGCAGATCGCTGAAGACGATGATCTCACGAAACATTTGATCCGGCGGCAGTTCGTTCGGGGAAATACCGTGGAAGCAGCCACAAAGACACCGGCCAAGGACACAAACACGGCCAAGGACACGAACACGAACAAGGACACAAACACGAACAAGAAACAGCCACCTGGTCGTCGTGACAGCATCGCGCCGTTCCCGGGCCTGAGGACGGAGTTGCAGGGCGTTTTGAGCGAGAGTGATGAGATGAGCGCTATCACGGCGAGACTGGAGGCTTTGGAGAAGAGCACAAGGAGGATAGAGTTCATGTTGGCGAAGCTTACGGGCGGGTTGGAAGATGACAAGGATGATACGGCTATCAATGATACGGAAAGTCCGTTTGATTCTGACGAGGAAGGAGAGGAGGGGGCGGTGTCGCAAGCTACAAAAGCGTGAGGAGCCGTAAGGAAATGGGAATGAGAATGAGACTGGGATTGTATACCTGCGAATGAATAGCGTTTGGTGTGCAGACTGAGGTGTTCCTTGCTGGTCCATATGTGACTTTGTTTACTGTGAACCTGGGTGTCAACGGTCACATGCTTAACAAGAAGAGAGGGCTGCGGTGTTGCAATGAGCTGGCTAAAGCACATTGACACTCATGATGATGCATTGTCAAATGATAAAATCTACGACTTCCATGACCAAGGCCTGGACAGGCAAACAGCGTTAAAGGGACCAAGGCCGCTTGAAAAAGGAGTCCAATGGCTCAGTTTGGTCTGTAGAAATATCTTGAGGTACAGTCCTGTGGCCATTGTCCAAACACAAGGTTTACTGTTTTGGGAGTTTTAACGTCATCTCAACTTACAAATTTCATCGATATTGGGGGGCTGCCTGGTAGATATGCTGTTGATCACTCTTCGCTTCCATAGATAGTATTGCATCACTAGGAGTCTGCTCCTTCATTTCCATCGATTCCACGGAAACATGTTCATAGCTTTAGTTCCCATATAAATGCCACATAGAGCCCGACTTCAGCGTTGACACCCCATTTCCAATTGCCAGCAGCAAGATGTCGACATACGCTACCCCCCCTCGCGAAGCCCCCATTACCTTCCTCTGCGGACATATTTTCCACAAACGCAGAACATACCATGGTCCTACTATGCAGGTTCCGAGCGTCCCCAGCTCCCTATCGGGTGCGGTACCACCTTGGCGGAGTAATAATGCGCCCGTTCCGTGTAAGTTGTGCAGAGAAAATAAGTTGTGGGAGTATGATTGGAGGAGGAGGGTTTGGATGAAGAAGGATAATGTTGTAAGTGAGAACGGGAAACTTGAGGAGCTTGAGAGGTAGCGGAGGTAGCTGGGCCTGGGATGTGTTGTTTGTCGGGCATCTGGGTTGATAGTAAAAAGGTAGCTACTTTGAATGGCGTTGTTTTCATGAGTCGATGCTAAGTAGCGGGTTTTACCTACCTGTAGACGCAATCGTTTTTTCCCCTTCCATCACGTCCACGTCTGAAGTGACGATGCTGCTCGCCTAGATAGTGCTTTTGTGAAGAGAGAGAGAGTGACTAACTCGGTCATCCTTCTGTCTTTTGCTCTCACGCATACAACCCTTATCACGTGCCAAGGCTGAGTGTTTATCCGAAACGAAAATGAACTTAAAATTTCGAGCCTTGTTTGTTTTTTGTTCAAACAACCCAAATCGGACAAAACTTGAAGCGATCCTCAACGTCGCTGTCGCCAAATACTCACATCTCATTGGTTCAACTCTTGTCCCTTCAAATTTAGTTCGTCGGCCTTGAACGAGTACCACCCACCTCTTATACCGACATAACACAGATAGTGCAACGGCAACAACCACCCAAAAACCCATCACCCAACCGCCATCATGCTCCCAACCCCCGACACCTCCCATGTGCCTTACCAGCGCGTCTACGAACCAGCCGAGGACTCCTTCCTCCTGCTCGACACGCTCTCGTCCCCCTCCGAAACCGCCTTTCTCTCATCCCGCTTTGCCTCCCCCAGTCCCTCCTCCCCTTCCCCAGCGCCTTTGGTTCTAGAAGTCGGCCCCGGCTCCGGCGTAGTGATCGCCTTTCTAACCGCGCACGCCTCCACCATCTTTGGCAGCCCGCATGTCCTAACAACCGCCATCGACGTGTCCCCTTTCGCCTGTGCTGCCACCAACCTTACCGTCTCCAAGGCCGTGTCCGAAAATACTTCCACCTCCGGGTTTTGGACATCAGCAACCCAAGGTGACCTCGTCTCCCCCTTTCGTCCCGGGTCGGTAGATGTCCTAGTCTTCAACCCGCCCTACGTCCCCACGCCTGACTTGCCTGCGCCGCCACCGACAGGGTTGCAGGCACTGAAGGAGAAAACGACGTTTGAGGAAGACTCGCATCTCTTGGAGTTGACGTATGCTGGAGGGAGGGATGGAATGGAGACGACGGATAGACTGATTGAGGCCTTGCCGGGGGTGTTGAGCGAGAGGGGGGTGGCGTATATTTTGCTTTGTGCGCAGAATAAGCCGGAGGAGGTCAAAGGGAGGATCAGGGTGATGGGTGGTGAAGGGAAGTGGAAGGCGGAGACGGTGGGGACTAGTGGGAAGCAGGCGGGTTGGGAGAAGTTGCAGATTGTGAGGGTTTGGAGGTAAATGGAGGGATGGGATGCTGATGATGGGTTGAGGATGGGGAGAGAAGCTGTTGAAGAGGGTGGAAGAGGGGGAGGGACGATGGCCAGTCACGTACAAGGCTCGAAAATTCTGGGGGAGATTTGGTATAGAGAGTTGCTGATTGTGCCGCCTTCTCCAGTGTGCATATATCGCCGTCTATCTGTTTTGTGATACATAAAATAGTTCATTCCGGTGGCGGTTGGGCGCGCCTTTCTCTCTCTCCCTTCCCGCTAGCAAAGTGATTTTATCCTGTCCAGAACGCCGCAACGAAATCCCAATGCTTGCCCTCTGCTCCGATTCGATGGGGGGGAGTGGTGTTTATGTGTGTAACACTCGATGCGAATGAGGTGAATCTCGAGTGTCGCTCAAGTAAAGATCTGGGAGATGCGCCTCGATTTTGCGAAGCGCACTCATCGTCGATTTTGTCGTGTCGTCGCCACCGGACGTTATTTCGGGCTGGCCTTGATCTTCCCAACCAAGACGGTCAAGCCGGTCGACCAAAGGACGCATAAAGGACCGAAAAAATTCCACCATTAACCGTAGTATAGCATCGTATCGTCTTTGAAAAAAAAAAGAATCTAATTCGCACGTTTCTGTCGTCCAGGGAGACGTACGCCGTGGCGGATCCCAAAGAAACGAGATCCGCTTAGCCACGGCCACGACCGCGGCCGCGACCCATTCCCCTTCCTCTGCCACGGCCACCACGGCCACCTCTGCCGCCGGCGCTGCGGTCCGCTTCCTTTCTCGCCTTGTTCTTGGGCTTCACGGAATCGTCGACTAGCAATGTATCGAGCGGCAAAGAATCGGGGAGTATGAAGTAACGGATTGTAGAGCCCCTGTAGGGTTTCAATATTTAGTGATGCCCTCGAAAACTGAAAAGTGCCACTCCCCCTTAGTTGAAAGGGCTGACTTACCTAATGTTCATGGCATCCAGAGCCACAGCGTCCTGGCCCTTGGGGGTCATCTTGACGTTGCGAAGCGCAGTGTCCATGCGGGGTGTGACCGAGGCGATAGTGCCGTGTACAATTGTGCCGTTCTTCAACTCAATCGTCACCGTCTCGTTGGCGCATTTCATCAGAAATCTGCAGTGTTGAAGTAATGAATTCCACTTCGTCAGCCTAATGCCCTTGGTGTTCTCTTTCTAGTAGAGCAGCATGGACGCGCGCGAACACGGGCTGGCAGCCTTGAAGGCGAGGATTCAAAGCTCAGCATGCGTCGTGCAAGAGAATAGGATTGAAGTCGGGTGGGATCGGGTATCGGGTACATGTAGCGAAAGTAGCGGGAAGCAAGGAGAAATCTTACCTGACCAGCTTCATCTTGACTTATTTGGACAACGCGTAACTGGATATGTGTTGTTTGGAATTGGTGGTGACAAGGTCTCGATTACCAGCTTGTTACTTTATCAATCAACAGTCGCGACGGGAGAAGGCTTGTCGAGCTTCCTTGAACGCTTGCACAACCATCCAAGCGTCAGGGTGGAGCAAATAGCCTGCCGTCGCTACGCGCCAAGACCAGAGCCCGTGCTCAATCACGTGAGTTAAGCTGAATATGCATAATGGCGGTTTCGTAACTCCTAACCCTGGAAGTCATTGCGACTCGAGCTCTCCATGATTTGCCTGCCCTGCGCATGATCTGTTCATGTGCTGAGTTGAAGCAACCAAATAATTGGGTACACGAAGATGGGCTGGCTAACTGTCACGCCGAACGACAGGGTGTTGTTTGCTATGACTTTGTCTCAGGAGCTATAGCTGTGATTGCACAGGTCATGATGCCTCATGGCAGGCTAAGGACCATGAAACGGACATCGGGCTTACCGCCTTCAACTGCCTATCCTGTCATATAATTCGGAACGACACAGGGTGGATATGTAAATGCCATCATCGCTCAACTCCAACACGAAAGCAAACCATAACACTATTGAAAGGATGCCATGGCAACTTCGCTGAAAAGACATTCGCTTGTACGTTCTGCGTGTGGTCATTCCCCGCTCAATCGCCGGGATATTCACTTGTCCTTCTCGTTCTCGTTCTCCGAAATCTTCTCCCACTCATCTTCCGTGCTGACGCCGCTCCTAGTGCCCAGACTCGGTGTCTCCTCAACCACTCTGTGCTTCAGCTCTCCAATCTGCTGGATAGGCTCAACCTCATGGCTGACCGCCTCTGCAATTGACTCCTGCCTCGTGAGGCTAGCTGTCGATGTAGCTGCCTCCACTTCCGTTTCGCTGTCTTCCGATGTGACTGGAGTTGGCGCCGCTTCTTTGGCTCTTCTCGCCTTTTCCTCTTCTTGGATTTGGTGCACCTTCAATTCCGCCGCGAACCAATTGATGGATCCCCAAAGTCCACCGCAGAGAGCCGAGAGAATTACAAAGTGGATACTCCATGTCGCAAAGAGGAGGCACGCCAGGACAAGTTGCAGAGCGGCAAATGTAACGTTTGTCGCAATAAGGAGGGTGGGAGTCGGCCCCGGAGTGAAGATCGACTCCCAGAGATTTGTAACGAAGGATGTCATTGAGAAGATTAGGCTGGCGCTATGTTGGCGATGAAAAGTTTGACCGGGAGGGTATATCGTGTAGAAGGGAAATTCTTGCTGTCGATGCGTGTTCAGGACGGTGCGCCGTGGAAGCGATGCGGACAAACGAAGAGACAAGCTCGCAGTATAGTCAACGATTCGTGGTAGATGACTACAATCGAAGAGAGGGTTAGTCACGGCATCACAACCTTTTATAATGACGAGGGACAGAAGGTGGGGGACGGATGAGGATGTGCAGCCCAACCAGGCAAAGCCCGTAGGGCCGAAGAGCTGGTCACCCGCCGAGAGGACAGGGCCATGGTTGCCAGATCACAAGACACGGTTGCTCTTCAACTACTGACCTATTCTAGTTGTAAAATTTGGCCTTTGATGCTCCAATGCGTGTCGTTCGTTGCAGGCTGCCACCGGTGGAACGAAGCAAGAAACCGTCGCAGAGGGTGATCTTTTCTAGATCAGATGAAAGTATGTGCGATACGGTCTATCGATGCCACAGGATTGGGCGTGCGTAAACGGCGCGCGTAAAGTAAGATAGACAGCTGGGTGTGCAGCACTCGAGTAAATGACAGTTAAGTAAAACTCTGCTTTGGACAAAAGAATACGGCTGGGAAAGCAAAGGTCTTGTGGTGGATGTTGAAAATCAGTTTGGCAATGTCGTGAGTCTGCCCGGTAATTCTTGAATTCCAGTCTATGGCAGAGGTTCGTGACGTGATGACTGGACGGCGGGGAAGATCGATGGATATGGTGGGGTAATCTAGGTATATATGGGATGTAACCGCCTTTTCAGGCTGAAGGAGTGGGTCTAGACCGGGAATTGAGTTCAGCTTTCAGCTCCACTTAGTTACAGAAAAAGCTGTCTAGCTGTACGTAACCCGCGAAGCCATCGCGGACTCCAATCGTTCCAAGCATTCAATAGCTGGCAACAGGACACGCCAGCTGTACAAACAACGTCTTGTATACCTTAATATGACCTTGGTTGCCACAAGTTTCCGAGACTAGATCTCCTGGCTACGAAGCTTATGAGGTTGCAGCAAAGAATACCGAATTGGTCAAAGGTCCTAAGCAACCAACATCTGAATGCAGTGTTGTACTCTTAAAGATGGAATGAGGGGGGGTGCGTCCCCGTGATCCGACTGGCACAATATATTTTCATCCTATCACAATGTCCCGTCCTAGACGGTGACGAGGGCGCTTATGTCGGAGATGCGCTGCGATAAGGAGGCGTAGAAGTCACTAACAGCATTCGGCTGGCTATCGGCGAGAAAATCGTTAGGGCCCACTCCATACCACTAGCACTTACAAGCAATACCATCTTCATCCGCATCTCAATCAGGCCTCCTATCAGGCATCCTATCTTGTGCCATCTGGGCATCCATGGACTAGACAAGCACGGCGTTGGAACAGCATGAACCCCAGTTGTTCGGCTAACTTGCTCTGACACACCATCACCGCTCTGGAATTGCGCAGATAGGCTGCACGATTACATTAGCGATGCGTCACTTCCTCGGGATGCTCTGATCCAGGAACTGAATGGAACTTCGATCTCATTGTATAAGATGTGCAGATGCGTGCAAGAGTAATCCGAAGGTGTGATGTATCTGACTGTGAGGTGTTTGGTTGCACTCGCTTGTCAAATAAGGTTGATGGGAGTAGCATGTGGCCATTATCGATGGATATCTCCTGCCACATCATGATACTTGGTTTATTCTTACTGTAACTGCGAGTCAGCGTAGAATTTCATGTCCATCCCAGAACCTCGACCGAGAAAAAGAAAAAGAAGAAAGAAGAAACAAAAAGCCCCTTTACAATAAGACTCGCAACTTTGAGATTCGGAAAGACAGAGACGACACAGGGTTATAAGTTAGACAGTTGCGAGTATTTACGACACGCATCCACTGGTAATGAATGACTGCACCTCTATAGGAAAGCTGCCACCCACATACCTAGATTTCTTGCGACTGAAGTAGCCTCGACGCCTGCTTAAACCTGATCGGTCCTGCACAAGTGCGTCTTATGCACAAGGGCTTGATTCACAGTTTGTTCTTGGCTCCAAGATCAGCTACAGGTGGCCCTGATATTTACGGTATCACTTCACGAAATTACAACAGTCTACAAAACACCATCTTACCAAATTACGTCCCTGCTAACCTACGAACCTAGCTACCAACAAGACTGGTTTGGAAGGCTGTTTGCGCTCCCACGTCCATCAGAAGCAAAAGGTGTCGGTTCTCAAACACGGTCCACGCCTCTTTATCACACGAATTCAATCAATTGTGTTCGATAGGTGAGCGCGAGTAAACTCGATACAGTCATTTAAGACTGAAATTCCATCACACAACACGCCAAAGACATTTCCTCATACCTTATTTCTTCTCATGCAAGTACTGACCATGTGTCAACACAACATTCGAACTCAAAAGACAGCACCTACACTTGGCTCAAGATGCATCTGCAAGAGCCTCAGTCACACGGGCCCGGCGCCCCTTCGTTTTCCGCCCGTCCACAATTTTGAATTAGGTGGGGTGAAATCTCGGGATTAGCCGGCCACCCATCGACTGCGAACCATGTACTCTATTTCCGCTCTTTACAGTTCAGGCGGAAAGTGTAGAGTAAAAGACACCTATCGGATGTAGGCCACCTACGATCATGCTACCTAGAAATTGATCAGAATCTCCGAGAAGATACGCGTAATTCAGCTATGAGAATTCAACGTTCAGTATTCTACCGCCCCTCAAAAGCCTTACGGTGTTAGATATCGATGAGCACGCTGACTTGGATGAGATGGCGATCTTGATCGAACGGTCTAGAGATGGTTTGGAGGAGCTCAGAATAGAAATTTCATCAGGCACACAGAGGTACATAAGGAACTCTTCATGGCGTGGGATTGATCGACTCTCGAGCAGGTAGATCATAATTCGAGATGGCCAGGTGAGTGTAGAGGTAACGTACCAATGGTAGAGAGACGTTTGGGAGATGTGCTGGGCGTCTTGGTCGGCAAGAGACGATATACGGAGGCGATCATCCCAGATGAACAAGCATGACACTGTTGGCATGTCTGTATCAGGGACCCAAATTTCGAGCTCCGCGACAAATTCTTGTGCTGAACGAACATATGTCGCCCAGTCTTCCACCCGTCAGTCTTCTACATTGGCATTGCCATCAGCATCTGAGAACATAAGACCAGAGAATCTTACGGCCCATCATCAACAACAACAACCTAGTGGCCAAGCTTTCGTGATTCCTAAATAGTAGCAAAAGAGGAATAGGAAGAAGAGAACTAGCATTAATTCTGTAACATGGAAGTACCTTGCTTCATCAGTCCTAGACCACTAGATTCACGAAACAAATGAGTACGACACTACTTTATCCCTCGTTACTAAGTTACGGGTCGATCTTCTCACTATGATAGATTATATCGCCTGTAGGCTACTCTTATTCTCGTACTGTATATAGTTACCTATTCATCACTACTTGCCTCAGCTTTCCTTTCTTCCTTTCCTTCTTTCTACCTACTACCTCAACCTCCAACCAGTCACAACGCCATAATCGGACCGTACAAAAGTACCGTAGTTTGTAAATGCGACAACTCTAGAATTTAATCCAATTGAGAAAAATAAAGTATCCACGCCTCCATCGTCCCTTTGAAGTTCCTTGTCTCCTCATTGCATGTGATTCAAAACGCTCAATCCTGTACGAATAGAAACCGTTTGAAGTCGTGGGCATTATATAGAGATAATGTGAAAGCTCGACTATCAACAACCGCCCGATTAGCTCAGCTGGTTAGAGCGTCGTACTAATATCTTGTCTTTCGAGATATCAAGTTCATGCGAAGGTCAACAGTTCAATCCTGTTATTGGGCATCTCCTTTTTTCTTTTTTTTTCTTTTGTGGGTAATCTTGTTCGATGTGGATGACGTAGGCAGGGATAGTCAAGAATGTGAGAGAGAGATGACTCGACTACTATCTACCTATCTACTATTGCAGTGTTCATTTCAGGAAGAGACGAAGTGATATTATCTAGTAGATAGTAGTATCTTGGTAGATGTTCAGTGAAAAATTCCAGAGGAATAGTTTTCTCTACCTTTTTTTTTTTTTTTT